CCAGGGCAGCCAGGGCAGCCAGAGGGAAGCTCTGGATTCCCACACCGTCCTGTCCCCACTGCCACTCCATGTCCCCAAAGTCATCTCCTGTCTCCACAGCCCCCCGCTACACCGTCCCCTTTCCCCAGTGCCACCCTGTCCCCAGTATCACCCCCTGCCACCCTGTCACTTCAAGTCCTCACTGCAGCATCCCCGTCTCCAGTGCCACCCTCTGCTCAGTGTCATACCGGTCCCCAATGTCTCCTTATGCTCCCTTCCCACTGCAGACCCTCCGCCACCTCTGTCTGTCCCATCCCATCCCCGTGTCACCGCTCGTCACCTCCTTTCGCTGCCACCGGTGTCACTCCCCATCACCTCTTGTCAGACTCCTCCCCGTCACCTTCCCCTGTGCATCCCGTTTCGGTCACTCCTTTCCCCCTGCTTTCCTTGTCACTCTGCGGTGTCCCCTCATGTCCCCTCATGTCCCCTCCTGTCCCCTCCTGTCCCTCATGTCCCCCTCGCCCCGCCCCGTCCCGGCGGTCGGCGCCCGCGCATGCGCGCTGCCCGCAGTGAAGCCGTGCCCGGCTGCGGGGCGGGGCGGCTCCATCCGGGTCCTGCCCGGGCCGGGCGGTGCGGGCGGCGCGAGCCCCGGCGGGACGGCGGCGGCGGGTGAGTGAGGGCGGGGATCGGAACCTCCCCCCGGGACCCCCGTGTGGGGTGCGACCCCTCCCTGTGCCTTGTTCTGTGGGGAAGGGACCCCTCTGCATCCCCGCTGTGTGCCTGGGATGCCTTCCCTGTGCAGCCGTCTGTGGGGCAGGGTCGGTCCTGCAGCTGCTCCTTGTGTGCCTTGTTCTGTAGGGACGGATCCTGCTCCAGCCCTTCAGCCTCTCCCTGTGCCGTGTTCTGTAGGGACATGTCCCTGCTCCATCCCCTCTTTCCCTATGCCGTGTTCTGTAGGGACATGTCCCTGCTCCATCCCCTCTCTCCCTGTGCCTTGTTCTGTGGGGACATGTCCCTGCTCCATCCCCTCTCCCTGTGCCGTGTTCTGTAGGGACATGTCCCTGCCCCATCCCCTCTCCCTGTGTTTTGTTCTGTGGGGCTGTTTTCCAGCCCTCTGTGGGGCAGGATCCTCTCTCTGCTCTGTTCCATGGGACAGGGCTCCCCCTCCATCCCTGCTGTGGGGCAGGGCACCCCCTCCTCAGCAGCTCCCATGGGGGACAGGGTCTCACTGTCTCTCTGCTCCACAGTCACCTCTGGGGCAGGGACCTCCACACTGGGGCACTCTCGGGGGTCTGGGCTGTGCTTTTGGGGTGTCTGGCAGCACTATAGGGCTGCCATAAGGTCCCGCTTGTGGGGGCAGAGGGGACAGCCCAGAGGCTGGAGCCATGGACTGCATCACCCCGGAGGGATGGAGGAGGGGGCTGGGGCAGCACAAAGGGACAGGGGACATGTCCCCATCCTGCTGGACCCCTCGATGAGGGGGAGCTCCTGGGGGTCCCACCCCATGGTGCCCAGGTCACCTCTGTTCCCAGCAGCTGCTGGCTTGGAATCAGACCTGTCCCTTTGCTTTCCTGGGGCCGAGACAGGACGCTGCGGGTTTCTTCTGCTTTAAAAGAAAACCGAAAAAGAAAGAAAAAAAAAAGCCACCCAGAAATGGGAAAAGCTGCTTTTTTGGAGTTACACTGGGCTGCTGTTCCTGCCGTGCCGGCACGTCCATACCCTCCCTTCCCCTTTGGCAGGGGACCTGCGTGGGACCCTGGGGACTGCAAACCGAGGGTAAAAATGCACCTCCTGCGGTTTGGGGTTTTGGTTTTTTGTGTGTTTGTTCACTTCAGCCTGTCTTTGTCTTCGCCGGGGTGCACGGAGGAGAACACGCGTGGGTCTCGGTCACCCCACGAGCGGCGCCGGCTCCGTCGGATGTGCCAGCGTGTGTGTCTGGGGCTTGCTTCCCCCCTCCCGTGCACACCTTTGGCAGGAGGTTTGGATGACATCTTGCTCTGGCACGCTCCTCGCCTTTGATCTCGAGTTTCCTGCCATGGATAACGTGTTCGGCAACACGCGAGCCCGGCTCCGCAGCTGCCGGGGAGGGCGATGCGGGTGCCTCCTCCTCCTCCTCCTCCTCCTCCTCCTCCTCCTCCTCCTCCTCCTCCTCCTCCTCGTCCCGGTTTTCCCCAGCTGGCTCCTGCCTACAGCTCCCGGCTTTCCTTTGTTTCGGGTGCCGCCAGGACGGGCTCTCACAGCCCAAGGATGCTCTGAACGGAGCAAAGCCAAGCACAAAAAGACACCTCCCCCCCATCCCTTTGTTTCCAGGCGTTTGCGGGCTCAGCTGGTTTTTACACGGCGGCTATTCATGTGCCCAGGCAGATAAACCCGACTACTCAATGTCTCTCTTTTTATTTATTTTTTTTTTCCCTATTCGGAGTTATTTTGGGTGCTTTAGTTTGCAGGGAGCACATCCCGGCTGCAGGCTGTGCCAGAGGGATGCAGCAGCTTTCTGGGAACGGGGTGAATTTGCCAGAAGCATAACTGGAACATCTCGTGGTTGTCCTCTGGTGTCCTCCTCGCATCTCCTCGGGTGAGCAGAGCCATAAGCTCTCGGTGCCACACTGAAATGTGGGATCACCAGCCCTTCTCCTGGGAGGACTCTGATCCTGGTTTGCAAAACCCACTGCCAGCAGCAGCTTTAGGGACAGAGGCAGGTGAACAAAACCCAGGCCCATGCCCAGCAGCGATTGCTGAAATCAGCTTTTTTTTTTAAACATATCCTTGACTTTACAGAAAGCAAAATATAAGTTCTAATATTATTATCATAATTATTTTTTAGATTCCTACTGCTGTTTCATTTCCCTCATGTGTTTGGCTTAATAGCGAAACTATCAGCTGAATTCATTTGAATGCCTTTTTTTTTTTGCACGACAGATGTACACAAAGCACCTTAAGCGTGTCAAACGGCCCCTGAGTAAATCATGATGTTTGCTCTATTACTTTATTCATACAGGTTCGATGCTCCAGCTGATGCATCTGGAGTGCTGTGCCATCTGGAGCAAAAATTAAATACAAATTTGGCCCCTGGCCTGGAAAAATAACAATCCCGTGCCCCACTAATAATCAGCAGTGGAAGGATAGAGCCCCTGACAGAAGAACTGCTTGGGGGCAATGTGGAAGGAACCCAAAATGCACTAATTGAGGTATTTAAAACTTATTTTAAAAGGGAAAATAAATGCTTCTAGCCCCATGTGCCAGAAGCAGGCAGGAGCAATGATGTGCTCCCATTACCAAGTCACAGGGCTGATGCTGGCAGATGACAGTCCTGATCCTGAGCGGGTGGTGGAGCTGCTGGAGGTCTGTGTGGTGGTGATTTCTGACATCTCCCAGCCTTGCTGCTGAAGGAAATCCCCTCCACAACCTCCCACAACCTTTGTTCCCCCACTGCTCAGCTCAGGTTTGCTAATTTTGTCCTGTTCACCAAGGCTGGGTTGGACTCTCCAGGTCTGCTGGCATTGCTGCTTGGTCAAAGGCTGTCTCAGATTTGGGGAGAACAAGATGTAGAGGTGGGTCAGCTTTGCTGGATCTTACTGCTTGTGCATCCCAGGCTCAGATCCAGTCACCTCCAGGTGTGATTGGAGATAACTGTGATGGACCAGCTGTGAAGGACACCTTGGGGTCAGCGTGCTCTGAATGCTGTGGGATCTGTTGGACCTTCAGATGAGGAATACTGTGTGCCACATGGGAAATAAAGTGATGGCTGCTGGTTGCTGCCACTGTTCTTGGCTGGAGAGTGGTCCTAGCCCTGTCCTGGGGGAAAGGCAGGGAGAGGAGGTGGATTCCATGGCAATGAAGCAGCAGAGCTGCTCAGGATTATGGATCTGAACCAATCCTGGATGTTCTACCCAAGAAGAGCCAACTTCCAGCTGCTTCCTGGACTAAATGAAGTGTGGGATTACAGGAGGCCGCCTGGCTTTGCAAGGAGGGTTTTTGTGCTTCTGGACCATCTCTCCACGCGTTCCCCCTTGGGTCACCCCTCCCAGTGACCTGCTGTCACCTCCACTTGGGCTGTGTGGCAGAAGACGTGTTGTGAGTGATTCACTCCCGGCCATAAAACAACACTTGGATGTGGAAAAGGTGGAGAGAAGTACAGCTGGTGCTCGTTTCCTGTTCCCAGCACCTGCACCTGGAGCCTTCTGCCTTGGGATGACAGAGCTGAGACACGGTCCTCCCTCACCTTGCCAGGCTCCTGCTGCACTGTAAACCCAAACAAGCCCATCCTTGGGGCCGTGGCAGGAGGTGCAGATCCTTCTGGTGGTCCTCAGCCAATTTGGAATATTGGTGTGGAAGCTTGGTGGGTGTTTTTTGGGGTTGAAGCTCCCCCGTCACAGCAGTGCTTGGTGTGCCCGAGCTGGGTTTGTTTGTTTTTGTTCCTGTAATCATTCCCCCTGAAGCTGAGTGTTGTTGACACAAGATAAGATCAGCCATCGAAGCCATTCCCTTTCCTGTCGCTGTTGCCCTGGGAGCGCTCAGAGTCAGTTTGGGAGTGGCCGTGTCCCCACCCGGAGCCGCTGACAGGGCTCTAAAGCGGCATCAGTGATGATGTGATACCGGCCTTAACTGCATTGAGGAATGCCAGCGATCCCATGGAAAACGCGCTCTGGGACAGGATCCCAGCCCACGAGGTCTTGCTACAGCCATGGGCAGTGGTGATTTGCTTCCTGTCCTGAGGGATGGGAGAGCCTTGACATTGACAGTGAGCTGGAGCAGGCCTGTTCCTCCATCCCGGAATCACTGCTGGCGGTGGAGCTGCGCCGTTTTTGGATGCTGTTCCCTCTGGAGCACACAGGGAATGTGTCGTTTTTCTACATGTCTGGCATGTTTAAATTCTACCAAAGAACAAAAACCAGTCCTGAAGGGTTCCAGCCATATGTGGAGGGCTCCTGTATCCTGCTCACAGATGGATGCAGTGCTGAAGGGATGGTGAGAGGAGACGAGCCCGACTCTACTGCCAATGAGTGGATGGGCAGCAGGGGCTTGGACCAAATTAGCAGGAAGCAGCTGGTTTGGTGTAGCCAAAGGCTGTGAGGTCTCACATTGCTCCCATGCTAGAGCTGCAGCTGGATCAGGCTGTGGAAAAAGCAGAGAAACAGGAGGACCAGCGAGGTCAGGGTGCCGGGAAGCCTAGGCAGGGATGTCCTGCTTTTTCTGCTTCATCTTCAGGACTGTGAGTGAGAGGAGCAAGAAAGAATGACTTCTCCAGGCTTATTTTGGCTTTAGTTTTGTTTTTGAGTTGGTTTGCAGGTCACCAAGACTGCTGAAGAACTTGGGTTCTCCTGGCTTTGAGGGGGAAAACGATCTTTGCCTTTGCGGGATTATTGCAGGATAATTCTGGAGGCCCATCCCAATGTTTGAGGGACAGCATGCTAGCCAGGTCCTTCAGTGTGCTGTCTCCATGGAGGCAAGGGATGGAGATCCATGTGGCAGCACAGCCACAAGGGTTATTGATGTGTTTGAAACCATGAAAGCCACTGAGAATGGTCACGTAGAAACTGGAACTTCTCCAAAAAGATGATGGGATTGATCACCAACTGAAGTGCACCTGCACCAACACCCATGGTCACCAAGAGGAGAAGAATCTGGAAACTACTGTGCATCAGGAAAGCAGTGACACGGTTGCCAGCACAGAGTCATGTGGGATGACTCAAACAAATGGATTGCTGCAATGGATGGGGATAACTTTCCATGATTTACCAGCAGCCCTGGCTAACTGGGAGGTCCCAGCTGACTGGAAGTGAGCAGATGTGACACACAGCTACAAGAAGGGCAGGAAGGAGGATTTTGGGAACTACAGGGCTGTCAGTTGAGTGACAGGAGTGGATCATCCTAAGTCCCCTCACGCAGCACCAACAGGGCAGTCAGGATCTGGAGCAGCCAGTGTGAGTTTGTGACGTGCAGGTCCTGCCTGACCAGCCTGATCTCCTTCTGTGACAAGGTCACCTGTTTTGGCGGATGAAGGAGGGGCTGTGGGTGTGTCTTTCTGGACTTTGGCAAGGCCACTTTTTCGTGGCAGGGGCTGAAGTCATCGTTCCCGGAGGGATTTAAAAGCCGTGTAGAAGTGGCACTTGGGGACACGGGTTAGTGAAGGCCTTGGCAGTGCTGGGTTAGCAGTTGGACTCAATGGCCTTAGAGGGCTTTTCAAACCTAAACGATTCCATGATTCTGTGATTTTATTATCCCCTCAGAGGATTAATCCCACCACTAATGCAGCTTTTCACTCGCAAAGCGCTTTAGAGGAAGTTGTGCCAGGAGAGTGCTTGGAGAGAGAAACTGAAAGTGCTGAGCAGGAGGCAGCTGCCCTCCTGATTCCAGCCTCTCCTATCCTGTGCAGTAGGAGTGGGTTTCCCAGCTTCTTGGTTTATGGGAGTATTTCAGGGAAAACACAAGAGCTCTGTGGCCGTGCAGTTTCCCAGGCTTGAAACCAGAGCATTTCAGCTCCCCGATCAATCCATTGAAATCCAGGAGGAGCAGCCTGGCAGGTAAGAAAGTTTGTGAAGCCAAATTACCCATCAGAGCTGGCTTGGAGGGATCAGAGTCTCCCAGCAGACAACTTCAACTACAGCAAATCCACCCGAGTGGATTGTGCCTCCCTCTCGGATTTTAGGGATCGGCAGAGCTTTGTCTCGAGCCGGCAAATTCCTCAGCACTTTAACGATGGCAGATATTTCCTCAGTGCTTTAACGACTCCCATTTTCCTATTGTTCCCTGTAAAAACCCTTTGCCAGGCTGGGCTTCTCCCGAGGCAGTTTCCTGGCTCTGCTCAAACGAAGCTGCGGGGTTGGGGGTTTTTCTTTCGCTTTCTAGTTGGGAAGTGTTGGATGACAACCCCGTGTTTTGCTCTCTTGGCGTGTGGGATAAAAGATAAGGCTTCTGGAGGCTGTGGCCGTGGTGGCCATCTGAAGTGGGATGGGATTGTGTGGTGTTGGGTGGTTTGATGGCTGAATGAATTGGGATGAGCCTGTCTGGTGGTGCTCTTGTGGGTTGGGTGTCTGTCAGCTGAGCCCAACACCCCAGTCTTGCTTGCCATTCACACCAAAACACCCTCACCGTTGTGCTGAGCGTTGTTTGGGGGCGGCACTTTGGGAGTAAAAGCAGGAAAAATTGATCATTTTCTCAACTATGGCTTTGCCTGAGGGATGCTGAGCTTCTGTGTGCTTCTGATCATCCTTGGGGCTTCCTCCTTGTGTCCTCCTCCTCCTGAAGCATCTTCCCCAGGCAGCTGCCAGTGATGCAGTGGGAGGAACAGGCCAAGGAGGTGATGGGAAAGGCCTGGGATGTGCTGCAGCCAGGGGAGAGGGATGGAGCTGCAGACAAGCCTGACATCAGGTGGTTTATTCCAGCCTCCGATGCTAAATCTGGGAGCGGGAGTGTTGCAGGGAGTTGGGAGATGGGACTGCAATGGGGATGGTGGGTATTCTCCCAAAGCCAAGAGAGAATTTGTGCCTCAAGTCTGAAAATTATACTGTCCTGCAGAAAAATGGGCTGGAGAAGAGGGATACTGCTGCCAGGCACCTCCAAAAGGAAGGGTTTTAAGACAAGCTGATGAAATTGGAGCCTTGTTTATACTGAGGTTGGAACTTGAGCCTCTTTAGGTTTCTTTTTTGGATGGAATTTAAAAGAGGAAAGAAGTAAGCATGACAAAAATCTAGTTTCTTTCTTAGAAAATGTCTGTTTTCTAACAAAAGTTGTTTTTCTTCTCCAAAGGATCCCCTGAATCCTTTCTGCTTCCTTTAGGTTTGATTTATCTATTGATGTTCTGAGCTGGAACATCCAACTTAGTAGCAAACTGCTTGATATCAAAGCCCAGATTGCACATTGCCTGCTTCATCTTCTAAATCAAATAAATTATTATTCAGTATTATGAGTCACTCATTGTGAGGGTAGCAGCAGATCCCAGTCTGTTTCCATGAGGGTGCCATGTTATATTTTCCTTATTAACCGAGGTCCTTACCACAGAGCTGTGTGGATGAAGGCTGCTTCATAGCTGGGCACAACTTAGGTTTTGTTGCTCAGAGATTTTTCTCTTTTTTCTTATTATTAAAATGACATTTTCCTAGGCCAATGCAGAACAAGTCAGGTGAATGGGATGGATTTTTTTTTTTTTAGCTGGAGCATCCATTTCCGTAAGAGTTGGAGCCCAAAAATGAGTTGTGAAGCCCTGGCAGGTTGCTTGCCCAGGATGAGATCCTGTCTTGAGCCTACTGTGGATGGACTGATCAGGCTTGTCTTGGATACCCACATAATTCCAAACAATCCTCTGCAGCACTGGGTTGGAAATCCCCCTTTTCCACCCCAAAACCAGTCCTGATGCAGATTTCTCTGTGAGGACTCGCTGTGTGGCAGCCATCTCTGCAGGCTGCTCCATGCTTTTGTTTACATCTGGTAGAAAACTTCTTAAATTTCCTGGCAAGGGAGTAATTCTAATCCCTTTCAATGAGATCAAGGGATTAGTGTCTCAGATGCTTATAAAATTGTGAGGATTAGCCAAGCCTTCCCCCCCATTCTTTCTATGCCGCGTAACGTCATCGCCGTGTTTTAAAAGGGGATCTCTGTGCTGTTACCAAGAGCTGAAGCAATTTCTGAGAGCCTCTGCGAATCCAAGCGTTTAAAAACCATGTCTTCATCCCCTCCTTTGCTCCCTCTGGATTTTTGTGCAGTTTTTAGGGTGTTTTTCTCTTTTCTTCCAGCATCCCTGGTACCAAACCACAGTAGCTGTTCAAGCAGATACGTTGGGTTTGTGTGGCTTGGCTGCGTTGCGGCGCCCGTGCAGGTAAGTAGGGAGCTGAGCCCAAAGTTTTCCTTCACAGAGACTTGCAAATTCCCATCTTGAGAGGACCAGGTCCTGAAAAAACATGTTATTTCACGAGTTTGCCCCTCATTTCAAAGGATTTGGGCTTTTGTGGTCCATCCCCAGAGGGGAACGGCGCTTCTGGGCCGACGGGATGCTCACCCCAAGTGTTGGGAGCAGGATGAAACTCCACACACCCACATTCCTGCATCCTCTTAATTACAACCTGCACTTTCATTAGGACTTGCTCCCTAACCAGCTCACAGGGAGCTGACAGGGAGGAGGGTTTAGTTCAAACCCTGTTGCCTCTCCCCTCAGGGCAGTTTTTAAATGCCTTTTCTCCCGGGTCGATGGCTTCGTGGTCGCTTGACCTGTGTGAGCAAAGCGATCCCGAACTGCCGAGTGGTAGGAGCTCGGAGCCAGGAATTCCTGGCCCCAACCCAGTAGAGTTTCAGTGGCGAGCTTTTAAATATATACAAAGACAAGCTCATAATTTCCACTCTACTAATGAGGCCACGGCGTTTTCATTGAAATGTGCCAATAGGCGCCGTGGTGGTATTTTAGCAGCCTTGTACTGTGAATCCAAATGTGATTTAACATGGCAGCCCCCACAGAGCCGAGGAAAACTGGCTTCTCCCGCTGAATTTCAATGATGCTGCTCAGCAGCACCTCCCAAAAATCCCCTCCGTGGTGGGACCTCTCCTTGTGTTTCATCCCGACAAAGCTTTTCCCCCCCACCACGTTGGTGAAGGTGGGAATGGGTTGAAAGGGGATATTTAGGAGGGGAAGGTCTTAATTTAAAGCCTGAATTTAACAGATGTGTGGCTGGCCAGTGCGAGGTGGCAATTTAATAACCAGGCTGGCCAGAAATATCATTAAATTGTAGTAAAAAAAAATGGAACGTGAGGGCTCCAGACATCGTGTTCTCTCTTGACCTTTAAAAAGCCACTCGAAGCTGCCAGCCTGCTCGTTGCTAAGCCACCTCCTTAGTGCCACTCATATATTTTCCCTTCTAGTAGGCGATTCAGCACCCGGGAATTCATGGAGATCCAACAGTAAACTGTTACACACCTGAAATTCCCACTGGTGGTTTTTAGCTTTGTAGCCTTGAAGCATTCAGAAAATACTTAGCAGGTTTTGTTCAGCCAGTTGCAAGAAAAATGTAAATTTTAAGTAACTCACAAAAGGTGTTAAGTTTGCTTTGCTTTTTTTTTTTTTTTTTTTTTTTCTTTAAAACTAGTTGTGCATCAGCAGCACAGCTGTAAATTGGGCTTTTGGTTATTTAGGGCTCAATTTGTGAGGAACCCCTGTAAGAAGCAGCGTCCCTGGGCAAAGGAGGGGTGTGGGCAGATGATGTTGGAAATTTACAGCTGGTTGTCCATCACCTCCTGGTGACAGACCCCTGGGGTATGGGTACACCTGGATTTTAGAATCACAGAATCATGGAATGGTTTAGGTTGGAGAGGTCCTTCAAGAGCATCTCATTCCACCACCCTGCCATGAGCAGGAACACCTTCCACTAGACCAGGTTGCTCCAACATAGCCTTGAAGATTTCCAGGGATAGGGAATCCACAACCTCTCTAAACAACCTGTGCCAGTGCTTAACTAAGGTCTCTTAATTTTCTGCACCCCACTAAGGTCAGGCTACAATTCCAGGTGAATAGGGAAAAAGGATGATATCCCATGGCATCACCCTTGGTGCTGACACTCTGTGACAGAGGAGATGCATTTGTTGGTTGGTGAATGTTTCTCTCCAAGGATCTCACTTGGCTGTGCAAGTCTGGGCGTGGAAAAGTTCCATTTTCCATTTCCAACTAAATTTTGAGGGGTTTTCCATCCTTGGAGCCACCTTTCTTGTGCCAATCCCATATAGGTGAAGCAGTTTTTGTCCTGTTTCCATATAACTCCCAGGTTTTTATACTGGACTCTATAAAGTGCTGCAAAACGATTCCAGTCTCTGTTAGCAAGGGAGAAGGAATGATAAAAAAAATATAATGCTCCCCTAAATCTCAGTAGTTGGGTCAAAACCAGGAAAGGGTGGACTGTCTGTGCAGCTCATTTTTTGGAAGTATTAGGAAAAATTGGAAACAGCAGTGACGTGGCATTGGTGTGAATTCCCAGCAGGCTGGGTTTGGGATTGTCTGGGTTTTCCTGAAGCCTTTTTCAGGCTGTCAGGATTGTAAAATACAACCTTGGCTGGATCAAAGTGGGCTCAGGGGAACAGCAGCTCCCTGGGATTTGTTTAGGGACTTTTTTCCCCAGTATCCCATCAACAGCTTTTTCACTCTTCTTATCCAGCTACCTCTTCTTATTAATTTTTACCTCAAATATAAATGATGCAATTAAAAAGGGTCCACGGAGTGCATTCCTGAGGACTGAGACCCAGGATCCAGGAGCAAACAGCAGCAGCATAAAGAGGAATTCTTCCCTCTCTGGCCTCATGCTGCTTTTCCACCACAAGGCTTTACAGCCATCTGGATCCCCTTTCAGATTATTCCCCCCTCACAAAAATCCATAACCTAGCAACCTTATTTAGTGTCAACGAGATCATTCTGCCTTCCTGTTCCCAAATTGTGCTTGGCTCCTCTGACTGCCTTTGTAGGATGGCTGCTGGCAGCTGTGATCCCATCACTGGTTCAGGGAGCTCCTCTTCAGCGGGATTTTGTAGGATTATTGATCCCTGTGTGTTGCACTGATTTTTTTTTTTTTTTCCTCATTAAAGGAGCTTAGGAAATGGGGGAAAAAGGGGTTTAATCCATCTGCTTCTCAGTATTTGAGTGCAGAGGGCAAGTTGCTCTTTGGCTCCATGGAAAGTGATTGGTTTTGGTTCAGCCTGTAGGCTTGATCAAAGTGGGATTTTTTTTTTTTTTTTATAGATGTGATATTTCGGGAGTCCCCATTGTTTCCTACAGCTCTGTGTCATCACCCAGGAATTTTCAAATTCTCTGGAGTGTTTAACACCAATTTCTCTGCTCTGACCCTTCAGCTGTGTGAGCTGAGTGTTTCTCATGGAACTTCCAGTTTGTGTTCCCCAAGGAACCTGTTCATTGGGGAACACTGTAAACAAGGAAAACCTACCACAAATGAAGGTGGGAGATTATTCCCCACTTGCCTCTGCTCTCATTGCTCTTTTTGGGCTAAAATACACCCAGATTTAATAATGTGTGTCCCTCCACCATGAGCCCATCAGGAGAAGTGGTGGCTCCTGCTTCCTCTTTTCACCTCGGGAGTACAAAGAGGGCTGGGGGCAGGAGGGGCAGCAGCACATCCTTTCCCACCACACTTCTGGGAGGAAGAGTGAGCTCACCAGGTCCTGACGTTGGAACTGTGTGCCAGGAAAAGGGGGGGAAAAAATTACAAATCCCCAAGGCCAAAGGAGAAAAATACTTCAAGTGTTATTTCATCTCTGAGCAGTGAATTGAACTGTCCTTCAATTCGTGTGAGCCTTTCCAAGAGAGGCGCTGCCAGCTCTGCTTCAAACCTTCCTGGGAAGTGATTCCCAACTCTCATTCCTGATGGGAGCTCAAGCAGGGCTCTCCTCCAAACTCTGCTTCCCCCTCCTCCAGACTGTATTAAATCGTGCTATTGATTTTTTTTTTTTTCTATTTATTTTTGCCTGTTTTCCTGGAACTTGCAAAATCAGCCGTGAGCAAACCTCTGGTTTGCTTTTCCAGCAGTGCTGGGAGAAAAAACTTGACTTTACCATGGGCGATGGGAGCTGTGGCTGACCCATTTCTGCACATTTCTCTGCTAGTGGTAGAAAAAACATTTTCCCACTTAAAGGTTCTCTTCAGTTTTAAAGTTCTGGGATTAATTGTTTCTTCAACTGTCGGGAATCAGAAGGACTTGCGGGAAATTGCAGCAGTACAGTCGTGCTGCCGGATGTTGCTTTCCTTAGACTTCCCTATTTTTTTCCAATTGCTTTGTCATGTTGTCACATCACTTGCTGTGTCCCTTGCCCAGAGGCAGTGGAGAGGGTTAAGGTTTTGTGTTTGGTATCAGCCAGCTGGGGAACACAGCCAGGAAATTTCCTGATTCCCGTTCAAAAAAAGCATCGGATCCGCTCTCAGGGAGGAGGGATCAAAGGTCCAAAGCGCTTTGTGCTTGGAGGTCAGTTTGGTTCCTTGAATATCCAGGCACACAACAAAAACCCACCAGCACCCCCAAGCCTGCAGGCAGCCAAAATGGGTGAAACAAATGGGATTTTTGACACCCAGAAGTTCTGTCTGTTGCTGTCATGGTGCTGCATCACCCCAGCCAAGCTTTGCTGGATCCCGGTACAGCTCTGCCTGTGGTGTGAGGGACCTGTTGTGATGTTCCTTCTTCCCTAATCAACAACCCTGCCAAGCCTTGCACCATCCCTCACGCTCCTCCATTCCCTGCCAGCTTTGTGGAGTGAAGGATCTGGGCCAGGTTGGGTGCTTGGAGCTGGCGCTGGATGTGGCATCCCCATGGTAGCATCGTAGCTCTTTAAAATTGCGTCATGCCAAGAGTTTTTGTGTTCCCCCCATGCTCATTCCTGTTGTTCCTCGGTTTTGGACAGCAAAGGCCATCACTGCTGGCTGGAGCTCCCTGCCCTCCATGCCAGGCAAAGGTGGTGCAGCTGTGTGGCATCTCTGATTCCACGGCGATGCTGGTTTGGGTTTGGCTCTGCAGCTGCCTGTGATTTTCCCATCGCCACCCTGCGGATCCTGGCGCTGGACCAGCTCCAGAGACGGAGCTGAAGGAAATTCCTTCCAGCTGCTTGAGGTCAGGGCTTCGCTTTGCTTTTGGGGTCCACGAGGGGGAATTTTTGCCTGCGAGTTAAATGAGGGCGTTTCTGGCTGCTGCTTCTTAACACCTGGAAGAATCTTTTTCTTTTAAATATTATCCCACTGGTCATAGCCATTAAATAACCTTCCTCCTGTAGAATCATTCCGTGGAAGAACACCCTGCTTTGCAACACAGCTTGGGCTGTTTCAGAAAGCTCTTGTCAGCTGCTCCCAGTTTAACTTTCAACCAGTTAATAAGGCTTTTGGTTAAACCTGTCTGAAACACGTTGCGAAACGCCTTTGAAACTTGAGACGCCGTTCACGCCCGCTTGAAACCTTTCCCATCGATAAAATATTCCAGCTTGGAGTTTGGCCACGGCTTAGCGTTCACTTTTCCTTGAGATTTGTGATTTCAGTCCTGCCTGTGTCTGGCTCCGCCGGGTGTTTGAAGCTCAGTGTTTCCTGGAGATGGGTTGGCTTTGCCAGCCCGGCCGGTGGGATGCCCGAACCACCAGCTCCATCCAGTTAATGGCTGAGGAGATTCAGTCTGAGTCTGCTTTGAACCCCTGTGGAGAGGGTTGTTTGTCTTGAAAACATAAAGTAAATCCTTCTAAAAACATGAGTTTATTTACAACAGCAGAGGCAGAAGCCACTGCTCCACCCAGCATGTGGGCTGTATTTAGGTGTGAGGATGCACAGCACATGCATGGCCCCTTTATGCACTGATGTTATAAATAAATAATAATAAATTTTTTTAGAAAAGAACAAGCAGCTCCTTTTAATAAGTTAAAGCCCAAGAAGGAGCACACAGTTCAAATCCATGTGGCAAAGCAGCAGGAAAGCAAAAATTTGCAGCTTTCGGCTCATGGAATTGCTTAAAGTGGCATCCCTGGTGTCACCCCCTGGCTTCAGGGACCACAGCTCTGCCTCGCTCCCCTCCTCCTCCCTGCCTCAGTTTCTCTGCCTGTGAGAAGACAATTGCATCCTTTATTAATCCCTGTGAGATCTCCTGAGGAATGCTCTGGGTACGAGGTTGGCCCCAGTATTAAGGGCTTGCTGTGGCTCTAATGGGCATTAATTCGGGACGTGGCTCTGTGAGGTTTACCTTTCACAGCCCAAGTGTAATCAAAGCCCTGCCAGGCTGGAGCTCGCTGACCTGTGACACTCCCTTCCTTGGCTGCTCGATGGGCCATTAACCAGCACTTTGGCTTTTAATTAAAGCTGGGTTTTGTCCTCCTTGGAGAAACGTGGATTTGCTTGGCCCCACATTGCTGAATCATTGGAGGGTGTAAGGAAGGAGATGTGGAGCTCAGGTTGTTCTGCCATTTGTGGCTCTCTGCATCCCAGGACAAGGAACCATTGTTCTTGCTGTTTTTCACAGAATCGTGGAGTGATTTGGGTTGGAAGGGACCTTAAAGACCATCCAGTTCTACCCCCCTGCCATGGGCTGGGACACCTTCTACTATCCTGGGTTGCTTCAAGCCCCATCCAAACTGGTCTTGAACATTCCAGGATCCAGGGGCAGCCAAAGCTTCTCTGGACAACCCGTGGCAGCGCCCCTGTTTCTATGTGCAGCCTGTGTCCCCCATCCCAGAGGCTTCAGGGACCTACTGGGGGCCATGGATGCCCCACAAGCATCATCTCCCTGCTCTGAGATGCCTTGACTATGAAGAGAGCAACAGGGAGGCTTTTGTTCTGCACCAGAAACTTTTCATCCTTCTTTATGGCTCATTTTTTATTTCTTTTGGCTGCGCCCTTGCAAATCTGAAGCAGCTTAAAATACAGTTCCTCCCCCCTCTCCCCTTAAAAAAAAAAACAACCCCAAAGCTTGGCTGCTTGAAATCATCAGATTTCACTGGAGTCTTTTAAAGTTAACAGTTTCCTGGATCCTGGGCAGACTAACTGATTTTTCCCCTTTAACCTCAGTGTTTTTTGCTGTAACATTTCTCAGCTGTTGCAGCAGGAGGGAGGGAGGACCAGGGCAGCTCCAATGTGGAGAAGGTTATTTCACACGGGGGTTGGATGAATCTGGTGTGGGATTCCCTGGATTTGCACCACAGGGAACAGAAGGGTTGTCCCCAGGAGTCTGAGCCCCCACGACATGGCTGGCAGGTAGGTGATGGCTGCGTTTCTGACACCCTTTTGGGGCAAAATATTAGGGAAATGGTTCCATTGGAGAGGAAAGTGGGATGCTGGGGGTTGGTGTGAGCTCTGTTTCTGCCGACTGTTCATTTGCTGAGAGCTGTGATGGTTCCTAGCTGTGCTCATGGATGTGGGGACTGGTGCAAGAGCAGCACAGCTCAGGTGCCTACAAGCATGAGGAATTTTTCTGTCTTGATGGGATTTGCTGCCCCAAATGCAGCCTTGGATGTTCCTTACCCACGGAATCTCTTAGTGGGATTGCTGAGAAGAGCATCACAAGTTAAAAGAGTTGTAAAGGAAAGAAAAGGTACAGTCCAGTGCTGGATGGTTTTGTTGCCTGTCCTCCAAGAGTTGTTTCTCCTTCCTTGCAAAAAAGTCACCTGGAGCTTTCCCAGACTGAGGAGTTTTCTCTGGGGTGGTTGAGGAGCTAGAGGCAGCCAGCCTTGGCCAAAGGCAGTGATTATCAGCTGATAATCACTGGTGGGACAGCAACATCCTCATGCCACCAGTGGAGCCCCTGACCCATCCCAAATCCCTCTGACCCAGCGGGACTGAAACCCAAACCCAGCCCTGCGTCTCTGAGCTGCGCATTAACTCCACCAGAGCTGGGAACAAAGGTTTGGGGGCTGGATTGGGCTTTTTAAAATTTATTTGCAAAGCAAAGCAGCTCAGCTGAGCGGAACAGGCGTCGGTGGAGGAGCGTGAGCTGCTGGGTGGTTGCTGGGCTATAAAATCCCATCCCCACCAGCGCTGGCAGGGGGATGTGCCGGCTCCCCGAGCTCTCGGAGCGTTTCCACGTTGGCCAGGAGAGGTTCTGAACATGCGTGTTGGTCTCTGGAGGCTTTAATCAAATCCAGGCTTTACCAGAAATCGCCTCGAAACTTCCAGCGAGCTGAGGAAACTGAAAGCAGCCGGAGCAGGGAGGCTCCCGGGCGGGTGTTTGGGGCTGGCAGGGATGTTACCTTCAGCAAGGGGATAGTCCCGGTGAGGCAGCCGGGATGAGAGGTGAGTCTGCTCCCCGTGGGAAGTCAGGAAAGCCCCACAGGGTCTGGCAAAAAACGGGTCTCAAGGGGGGAAAGGAGATTCATGAGTGAGGTGCTGCTTGAGGGGACTCTCAGAGGACACTTGGATTTTGGAGCATCGCTCTCTGGCATGTGTGGGTTCAGATCCTGCGGTTTCCCCACTGTCTTCCCACCCTGTGCAAAATGAGGAGCTGTGCAATTACTGCGTGGTGGAAAACTCCCCGCTCCAGGGGAGGGTTTTGTTATCCCTCGGTGATTTTATTTGGGAAACAGGGCTCAGACTGCAGGTACTTTCCTTGCTTGTAAAACTTCATTGCACGTTGCTCTCCCGTGGGCAGAAGGGAAAGCAAGGTGTATTTTTAACTTCCTTTTCTAAGCTGGGGCCAGGGGAACTTTATGCCTGGCCAGCAACGGTTGTGATTATCTGAGGGTGAACAGTTCAGAGAATGATAGGAAGATAAGAGATAATAAATAAGAGCAATTAAAATCCTAGGGAAGAGGATTTGCTGAAATCGTTATCCCAGACAGCTGCTTGGGGTTTAACTGGGGCTCTCCAAGGGGAAGGAGGTTTTGGTCACAGGTCCCAGACGTGGGACACGACAGCCAAAATTGCTGCCTCTTCCTCTTGGCCGCCTGCTCGCTGGTGCCTCGGGGCTTTCCTGGGGGGAAGGAGCCTGGGGCTGTGCTGAGGAGTAAAGCTGAAAGCTGCAGAAGTGCTCTTAAACCTCCAAACCTGCGTCTCAGATAGGAAAACAAACAAAGTCTCCTTTACAGAGTCCATAGTCTCCCCATAATTTCTCTCAGCGGCACTGCTGTGTGTCCTGGGAATGTCCTCGTCTTCTTCCTTTTCATCTTTGATGACTTTGGTGGGGGATTTCTATGGAATGAGCAGTCAGAAACCACTGGAGGGGCAGGGAAGGCAAACTTGCCTTGCTCCAAGGCTTCCTGGCTGCTTTCAGTATATTTACCAAGTTACTGTGGGGTTTGAGGGATGCTGGCTGCAGCTGGGGCTTCTTGGATGCAATTCCTGCCGTCCGTCTCATCCAGTGTTTTAACTTGAAGGATGATGTGTGAAAGGAAAAGAGCTGGAGGAGAAGCTGACTGAGAGAAGGAAATCCCAGCCCCAGCTGATGCAGCCCTGCTTTGTTTTCAGGGTTACCAAGATGGAAACTTGGTTTTGGGCAAGGATGGGGGGATGAGTGAGAAGTCATCTCCAGCCCCCTCCACATCCATTCAGGGGACTGCTGGTCTGCAAAGTGCATCCCTAAGGAATGTCACAGCCATGTGTTTTCTCCCTGTCTCCACAGCCTACCCATGAGCTCAGACTTCCAGCATTACAGTTTCAGGATGCCGAACATCGGGTTCCAGAACCTTCCTCTCAACATATACATTGTGGTTTTTGGCACAGCCATCTTCGTCTTCATCCTCAGTTTGCTCTTCTGTTGCTACTTGATCAGGTAAGGGAATATTGTAAGGGAATGTTCCCCAAGAGCTTCCCTGCTTCCAGGCCCATCAGTGATCCCTCCATCCCAAATTTCCTTGGCACCACCTTGACACATCTTATGTCAACCTGATGTGCCACAAAGCAGTCACATTATCCATTTAAAACCAGGAGATGCACATTTGCTAATAAAGGTATGGAATTGTGGTCAGCTTTTCAGAAAACCTGGAAAGGGATGTTTCGTGGTCCCTGCTTTCTGCTTAATGTTTCAACACATTTCCCTCTGTAATGAGTAACTCGTGTCCTGCGTGCCTGAGGAATGTTTAATACCTGCTCCGTTGCTTATTGAACACAAATTGCTCCTTCAACAGCACAGTTTGGAGATTAATGATGCAGAGTTGATGTGTTAATATGAGCAATAGGGGAGCAGGATGGCAGGGTTAAAGTTTGTTCCAGTTTGGGGCTTGTTTTAATTATTTTATGGGCCATTGGGGAGATTGTTGGGCTGCTGATTGAGAGGAGAAACTCTTCCTGACAGAGGGAAATTGAGGCAAGTGGGGAAAAACCACTGTGCCTGAGAATCAAGGTGGTGATGGAGATGAGTTGGGCTGATAACCCAAGATGGGTGGCTGGCTGTGCTTCAACCTGTGCCTGGGAGCAGAGGTCATCATTCTGCCAGCAATGGTAGCCAAAATTCTGCATTCCCAGAGCTCTCCTCTCCAGCTTTTCCATCCCCTTTCCTTCCTCTCTGTCTTTCTAGCTGGCCCCAGCTCCCTGCAAGCTGTGCTTCCATCACATCCCTTCCCTGTGTTCCTGTAAAAACAGGTACCCAGTCTCTCTTTGCACCACAGCAGCCAGTCCCACCAGGTTATCTATCCAGAGGGTGTTGAAAACATTTTATCCTGCTCTTGTAGACCAGGGAAGCGAGGTTTCAATGTCAACCTTCTAAATACTTGATAATTTTTACTCAATTTCAGTTCTGTATGAAGCAAAACCTCGCAGATGAGCCCAAACCCAGGTTTACTGAGGGGTGATTTGGGCTGCTTGGGCATCATATCTTAATTTTTTTTCCCACAATTATAAAAATTATGTTTTGAATATGTATGAAAATAGACCTGAGGTGTTCAGAGAGCTCAAGGAGTTGTTTTGCTCAGGTGGAGCTTGAGTCTATATGGCTCACTTAGAAAATTGCAGAGGTGTTTGGCCTTTGAGAGTATTTTCCTGGGCACTCACTGGGTGTGTTATGCCCCAAAGAAGGAATAACAAGGAGTAATGTCTGGAAGGTCAAGCCAGAAAATCTTTAAATTTAGAAGCTGGAGGCGTGTTGTAAGAGAGAGAGGGTGAGTAACCGGTGAGAGAAGCCAGCAAGGAAGTGGCAAGTCCTCCGTCTCCTCACGTCCTTAAATCAAGACCGAGGACCTTTCCGGATGAGACGCTTTGGCTCCTGTTCCTGAGGTGCTATTTAGCAAGCCATGATAGATGTGGAGTTGGATTAGGTCATCCAGGGATCCCTTTATAGCCCAAAACCCTAGAGAGACTCTACAAGTGGCTCTTCAGCCCTCCTCCTTCAGCTCTTTTATTGGCAGAACAGAGCCAAAACAGCATCCTCCAGCCCGCACTGGGGAGGGTTTTGCTGTGCTGTGGGTTTTGGTTGTGTCAGTGTCCCAGGAGCATCCACCTCCACCGAAGCTGCTCTGTAATCTCAGCTCATCTGGGATATAAAAGTCTGAATTTTGGTGGGGTTTGGGAAGTGTTGTAGGTGGACAACAGGATGAGGACCACCCCCCTGCAAGGGCAGAGAGACCCACAGAAGGACAGGGTGGTCTCCTGCAGAGCTCCAGGGCTCTGCTTCCATCCATGGGGGTTCTTTGCTGGTAACAGCAGCTCCTGGCTTTCCCATAGGTGCAGCATCAACACACCCCTTCCTCTCCCTCCTTTCCCATAAATCCACATCTCCAAATATTAAGCAAACACCAGGCAAGGCTCATGACACCACTCTCAGGCCCTGGTTCTCATTTCCTGCTCTGGATCAGAGCAGCCCCTGCTGCCCTCCCCACATCCCCACCTGGGTATGAGTGTGGAAGAACCAATATCAGGTGTATTCATCCCAAATCACAGAGCTGATGGCATTAAATAAAAGATGTGCTGGGGAGGGAGAGGACATGGGCTGTGCTTTGCAGCTGTGTCAATACAGGCTGTGCTGTGCTGCCTGCTCCAAGGGAAGGAAAAGTGACATTTTTTAATTGGATTGGCTCAAAACAAGAGTCCAGTAGGAATTTCACAACAAAAATCTTCATTGCCTGTGCAGTGTTCAGGTGAACCTTGAGCTCTTCTGCTGCTGCAGACCACTCTGGTCAGAGCTCAGGTCCCTCATGGCTGCTGCCTCTGCTTGGCAAAATTACAGATAAAAAAGGAAGAACAAGGAAATGAGATTTTGCAGGCAGTTGGTGGTGTCTGATCTCTGAAGAATTAATGAAAGTGATAAACTCGTGTTACCTTTGGTCCCATAAAACCCAGTCCAGAAGGATGCTGAGCTGAGCAATGCCACCCTTGCTGTGGGTCAAGTCTGCAGCATCCTCTCTCAAATTGAGCTTTGCTGTGGCTCATCCAGGGCTCATCCCTGCCCAGCCTGGAGCAGCTCAAAGTCTCTGGGAGGCTCAGGGTACACAGCACCTAAAAAGAGCCTCTTTTTTTGTTTAGGGTTGTTTCCTTCTGCATTCAGACCTGCCAGGATCCAACACAGTGGTTGGGTTTTGTGGTCAGATAAAGGAATGAAGGTAGAGAAGGGTCTGGAGCACCAGGAGCAACTGAGGGAGCTGGGGAGGGGCTCAGCCTGGAAAAAAGGAGGCTCAGGAGGGACCTTGTGGCTCTGCACAGCTCCTGACAGGAGGGGACAGCCGGGGGGTCAGGCTCTCTCCCAGGGAACAGAGACAGCAGGAGAGGGAACGGCCTCAGGCTGGGCCAGGGGAGGTTCAGATTGGGTATTGGGAAAATTTCTTCACCCAAAGGATGGTCAGGCACTGGCACAGCTGCTCAGGACAGTGCTGGAATCCCCATCCCTGGAGGGATTTAGAAGCCATGTGGATGTGGCACTTGGGGACATGGGTCAGTGGTGGCCTTGGCAACACTGGGGAAATGGTGGGCTGGATGATTATAGAGAGCTTTTCCAACCCACACAATTCTGTGATTCCATGAAGAGCCCAAGGAGCCTGGCTGAGCTGGGGACAGCAACACAATGATGGGATTAAAAGCCAGTGCCCAGGACTTTTCTACTCCTTCTACTATAAAGAATCTAATATGGAAATTTCAGAGGTAAACCTGCAAAAAATTTTTCCTCTGCATTTTATCCCCATTGTTGTTCACTTGCTGAGGTGATTCAGACACCCAGAGAAACAGGGAGCTCCCACTCCTGCGGGAAGAGATCCCAAAGCCCAGGAGAGCTGGTTGTTCCTTCAGGGAGGGTGACAGCACACAGGATCAGCAGCCAGGCACTGTGTGGTCCCTTATCTTGGTCAAACATCTGCCAGGAATTCCTTGGGAGTCACAGCACTTGACAGGAGATGGATGGAGCCAGCTCTGACAGTGAATAGCTCTTGCCAGGATCCAGAGTCTCCTCACCACAGCTGCACCAGATCCCACCAGGATCCATCTGGCTCAGAGAGCAAGGAGGAGCAGGCTGAGCTCGTGCTGCTCCCCAGAACCTCCAGGGAGGAGTTTTTTTGGGAAAACCTCCCTGTCTAGCTCAGCACCAGCCCAAGGCATCGTAGATCCGTGGAGCTGTGCAGATCCACAGCCAGCTGGTCACTTCTTCCCCACCACTGGTCCAAGCTGCTCCAGTGGCTTTGGCTCATGGGGGCCAGACCCTTGGTGGCCACTCAGTGCTCCACACAGAGGGATATTCCCATGGTGCTTCCCATTCCAGGCGAGTTTTCCCTTGTCTGTGTCTCCAGCCGCTCGCCTCGCTCTCCCCATCTGTGTTTCATAACCACCAGCTCCCTGCGGATTGGGCCGGTTTCATCCTGTTCTCTCTATTGTTCCTGCTTCTTCTGCTCATGTTTCTGTTCAGGGTCACTGCCAGAGGGATGAGACCCCAGTCTCCTCCTTCTCTTCCTCCTCCTTCTCTTCCTCCTCCTCCTCCCCGCCTGCCGGTGTTTTCCGTGGTCCTGCAGGCAGGTTCCTGCCAGGCAGCATTGCTGGAGCAGGAGGGATGGCTCCCTCTGACATTTGGGACTCATGAACCAACTTTCTGCATCTCTCCCTGCACCATTAAGGTGCATTTTTACCCATCCCTCGACTTCTATTTTTTAACATTTTTGGGGAGGGTGTCAGACATAAGGAAATCTTTTTCCATCCCATTTTTATAACTCCCCCACTGCAGTGTGGCAGGGTTGGAAAACCCCCAAGAGCTCAGGTTGAAGCAGTCAGGGATTTTAACACCCTCAGAATATTTTTGGAGAATAGAAATTCCAGGCAAGGGGGTTTCCCATCTGAAATCACTTGGGGCTGGCTGGGGAAAATATTCCTACAGCTCTCCAAGCCCTGCAACCACACATTGACTCTGTATTGAAAGTCCTTGGCCAACTCTTCAGCCCTAGGGACTTCCCTCCTGAGTTTTCCAAGCAGTTTATTAAATGCCATGTCTGGTAATGAGAGGCAATATTGGTTATTTTAATTTTAAGTGTATTTATTTTAGGAGCATAATGGGTTTCTCCAGCCAGCGGATGCCTGTGGAGTGCTCTGCTGGCTCTGACTCTGGAGAGGGGAGACTGTGGAGGGAGGGGATGGAACCAGCACTTTACTTGTGGCCTAAAATTCCTGCTGGACTTCCCACGGCAGCAGGTGTTCTTGGAACAGGCCCATCCCATTCATCTCCATCTCTCACTTTGCTCCAGGAGTGGATGTGGTTTGATTGATCTTAGAACTGAGGATAAAGCTGAGTTTGAGGAACCCAGTGTCACCCAAGCAGCGTGATGAGGGCTTTAGTGGGAAACCTCTGGGCAGGGATCTCCTTCCCTGTCCCTGCTGGAGTGGGAGCAGGGCTTTCCTCAGGTCTGAGCCCCCATGCCTTGAAAAACGGTGCTGCACTCAGTGTTGGAGTTGTTGCCAGCAGAAGTGGTTGGAAACTGAGGGGATTTATGGAAGACTGTGATTTCCTCACCCACTTTTTCTGGTCTTAACTTTGTGGTTGATGTCTGCTTGGAAAATCAGGGAGGTGAGAAGAGGGATAAGGGAGGAGTTGGGAGCTTTGGGATGGAGACGTGTCCCTGCCAGCCACAGGGAAAGCTGGGTGTTGCCTAAACATGTCATTTCCTGTGGCCATTCTCATTTCTGAAATCAAAAATGTAAAAGATAACATGTTAAAGCTGGAAAGGAGGGAAGTGGAATGTTTGAGGTATTACAATAATCCTGATTTTTTTGCCTGACCTCGTGTTTCTCCCTGGTTTCATTGCAGGCTCAGGCATCAGGCACACAAAGAGCTTTACGCCTACAAACAGGTGAGATGATCCTCTAAGTTTTTTTTTCCCTTCCCTTCTCCCTAGTGCTAATTCCATCAGTTTTCCTCGTGCTGTTCCTCTCCTTGGGAGGTTTCTGGCCCTCAAAGGGCAGTTGTAACACCTAGGCCAGTCTGTCCCTGCTGATTTTATTGTCCCCAACCAGCTGGACCCCCCAGGACCATCCCTCACCTTCTCATCCACAAGTCTCCCAGTTTTCCACTGAGGTCCTGAGCAGTGGGAACATCTCCACCATCCTCACCCACTGCACAGCAGTGATGCCATCGCTCCCCCAGTCACCAAACTCACCTTTTATGGGGTCTGGATCTGCTCCCAGGGGTGAATTTGGCTGCTCCAAATCCCTAAATCCACAGGGCTTTTCCACGGAGTAGCTCCATGGCAAGCCCAGCTCTTCCCTGCACCCACCTGCACTTACCAACTAAAATAAACACAGCCCAGAGGTGGGTGTCAGGCTGCTGCTTCCACGTCCTGTTTTCTCCAGGATTTGTGGGATTTTCTGCCTCTGACCCCTTGATCCATGCAGGAAGCTGGGTGGAGTTGGGCTGAAAGCACACAGTTGTCCTGCATTTATAGCCCTCTCCAGGTGCTCAGCTTGGATGGAGGGAAAATGAAGTGGTAGCCCAGGAGGGTTAAATTTGGGAGGAAACCTCCTGGATTTGGTCCCTGTGGTTTTATCTTTCCCCTCCTCCTGTCCCTGCACAGGCCCCTCGTGCTCCCCTGGCCGTGCTGGGTTTACTGGGGGATTTCCAGTTCTGCTGGGACACTCAGTGGGGTCCCTCTGTGGAGATTTTTCCTGGGAATGCTGATGGCAGAAGCTCTGTCCTGACCCCAGCTCTTTGCCTTGCAGGTCATACTCAAGGAGAAGGTGAAGGAGCTGAACCTCCATGAGGTGAGCACATCCTGGGGCAACAAAAGCTGCCTCTCCCTCCTCTTCCTCACCCTGGGGAGGAGGCAGACCCTCAAATTCAACTCCACTGGGAGCACAGCATGCAGCCAGCTGGGCTTTGGAAATGGGGAAAGATCCTCTGCAGAAGTCTGGACTAAACCCTCTCCCTCCTCCTGGCTCCCCTTGGCTTTTCCTGCATAGTTATTGTTGTTTATTGTGTTCTTTTTATCACAATGATAAGAAACTGTGGATAAGGGGAGGCCAAGGCAGTCTGGGCCTTGTATAAACAGTGTCCCTGAGCAGGGAGTGACAATTTCCAGCACAGCTCTGGGCAGGGAAAGCTGAAATCCAGGATAAACACCCTCCTGTGGCTCCTGCAAGAGGCAGATCCGCTCCTCCCTGCCTGCCCCCTGAGGGCTCAAACACCTTCGTTTGTCTCCATGGCCTTCCAGGCTTTTGGGGGCTGAGCGTTTCTATTCACAGCCCATTTTTCCTGATGAATTTGAGCAAGAATCTGCTCAAATCCCACCTCAAAGCACGGCCTGGATTTATTTATCCCGCTAGAGATAACAAAAATGCCCACCCACATCCGGCCAGGAGACTGCTCATCTGCTCAGCACCGGCTCCAGTTGTTTCTAAACCACTCTTTATTGTATTTTAATCCCCTGAGCAGAGCCTATCCCACGTTTTATCCTGACCCTCCCCTCCTCACAGCCCCCAGGGTAAATCCCAAGGGCCCCGGGGTTGTGAGCAGCCTGTGCTGCTGGCCCCTATTTCTGATTTACTCCCTATAAAAACCGACCTGCAGTGGGGTTTTTGTCGGAGCACAGGCTTCAAAGCACTTCCTGGGGTGAGAAATGGGTTGGAGGAGGGATTTGGGAATGTGCCAGAGCTGGGAATGGCCTCAATAACTCTCAGCCCTCCTCCTCCACCTCTGTTCCCAGCTCTCCCAGATTTTGTCTGCAGCTCTCCCAGATTTTGGGGAGGACAGAGCTGTTGAAACTCTTCCCTGGGATTTGGAAAAGCCTGGAAGGGTTTAGCTTGGAAAGATCCCATTTGGGGCGTTTGTGTTTTGGCATTTGCAGTCAGTGTTTCTGGAAAGCAGAGGACGGGGTGGGAATTTTCCAGCATGACGGGGCGGCTGCCCGGAGCTCTGTGGAGGGAAAGCTCCCACCCAGCTCTTCCCTCCCTGCCTCTGGGTCTGGTTTTCCCCTTTTTTTTCCATCATTCTGCCTCTCCCAGGCCCTGGGAGTTCCTCAGGGGGTGACCCCAACAGCTGCACCTGGTGCACTGAGAGATCCCAGGCTAGGAAAACCACCCAGGAATATCCAAAATCCCCTGGGATATCCAAAATGAGTCAGGAGGAATTGGCTGCCAGGGTGAAGGAGGTTTTGGCTGAGAAACAGCCACCAGCTTTCCCAGCCCTGGGACAGGCATGGCAACAATCCCATTGCCTTTTCCTTTTCCCAGAGGTATCCCAGGGAATGAGGCAGCCCCAGGGACCAGGCAGCAGTGTGGATCCATCCCCCTGCACCCTAAAAGCTCCAACACATCCCAACTTTGGGGCTGTTCTGTGGAGGCTCCATGGTCACATCCAGCACCCAAGGGAGACCTGAGCCTCAGCCTGTGATCCTGGAGCTTGGGCAGAAAAATTTGGGAAGCCTTTAAGGGAAATTTCATCGCTGTGAGGGTGGGGAGGGCCTGGCACAGGGTACCCAGAGAAGGTGTGGCTGCCCCTGGATCCCTGGAAGTGTCCAAGGGCAGGTTTGGAGCAACCTGGAATAATGGGAAATGTCCCTACCCATTTCAGGGGGTGGCACTGGGTGATCTTTAAGGTCCTTTCCAGTCCAAACCATTCCATAATTCCATGATTTTAGCCACCTGATAGTTTTTCTTTGGAAATGTTGCTCCCTGAGCACTGACATTCCCTGTGTGTGCCACACCCTGCAGATCTGTGCCGTGTGCCTGGAGGAGTTCAAGCCCAAGGACGAGCTGGGGATCTGTCCCTGCAAACATGCGTTCCACAGGAAGTAAGTTTGGGTCACCCCAGCCCAATCCTGGGGCAGGAGTGGCAGGAAAAGCTCCTAATAGCTATTTATTTATTTATTTATTTAATATATTTAATATAAATATATTAAATATATGTTTTATATTTAATTTTATATTAATATACATTATTTTATATATTTAATATATATATTTCTTTATATCTATAATTTTATATATTTATTTTATATATAAATATATTTTATATGTATAAATATCTATAGGCATGGTTTATATAAAGCAAACCCACTCAAATTTGTTACTAAATAATAATAATAATAATAATAATAATAATAATAATAATAATAATAATAATAAAACAGCACTATATAATTCTCTATATGCTAAAACAACATAATATCCTACTATATATTACAGGTATTTTTATATTCTCTATTTATATATATTTCTCTTTATACATATATCTTTATTTAAACATACAAATATATTATATAAATATATATTTTATATAATTTATATTTTATATATTAATTATATTTCTTATTTATATAGTATTTATATTTAAATATATATTTTAATATTTATATTTTATATAATATATATTTTACAGATTTATAAATTTATATATACACTATACAGTATATACTATATATAACTATATATAATATCTATTACATACTATAGATTATATATGTTATATAACATAGTATGTAACACATAAATTATACATAATACGTAACGTACATAATAGTATGATTATATCAGAGTTATTTACAAAACTTTTATTTAGCCATTCACATTATATACGTGATTTTGGATTATTGGTGTTTTATTTACAGATTCTGTGTTTATAATTTCACAGACACCATTTATGTATATATTTTGGGGGTTTTTTGGTTTTTATATCTCTGTTATAAATATAACTATAAATATAAATTAACATCTCAATCTAAATATAAACATAACCATATGTAAATACAAGCTGTAAATATATATTATATATAAATATAAATTACATATAAAACATGCCTATACAAAATCCCTGTATATAAACACAGAGATCCCAAAAAATCCCAATAAAACATAAAAGCACCCAAATGGTGAATTTAAAACTGGGCAGCAGCAAAGCTCCAGGGCCGGGTAAAGGGGCTTTGGGGGGATTTTTGCAACTCCACATCAGTGCCAGGCGTGTCCCCAATGATGTCAGGTGTGCCCAGTAATGTCAGGTGTGTCCCCAGTGATGCCAGGTGTCCCCTGTGATGTCAGGTGTGACCCCAGTGATGTCAGGTGTGTCCCCAGTGATATCAGATGTGACCCAAATGATGTCAGGTGTCTCCCCAGTGATCTCAGGTGTCCCCAGTGATGTCAGGTGTGTCCCCAGTGATGTCTCCATCAATGTCAGACGTGACCCCAGTGATACCAGGTGTGTCCCCAGTGATGTCAGGCATGTCCCCTGTGATGTCAGGTGCCCCCATGATGTCAGGTGTGACTCCAGTGATGTCAGGTGTGTCCCAGTGATGTCAGGTGTCCCCAGTGATGTCAGGCGTGTCCCCAGTGATGTCAGGTGTGTCCCCAGTGATGTCAGGTGTGTCCCCATCAATCTCAGGTGTCCCTAATGATGTCAGGTGTCCCCAATGATGTCAGGTGTGTCCCCATCAATCTCAGGTGTCCCCAGTGATGTCAGGCGTGTCCCCTGTGATGTCAGGTGTGTCCCCAGTGATGTCAGGTGTGTCCCCATCAATCTCAGGTGTCCCCAATGATGTCAGGTGTCCCCAATGATGTCAGGTGTGTCCCCATCAATGTCAGGTGTCCCCAATGATGTCAGGCATGTCCCCAGTGACGTCAGATGTGACGCCAGTGATGTCAGGTGTCTCCCCAGTGATCTCAGGTGTCCCCAGTGATGTCAGGCATGTCCCCTGTGATATCAGGTACCCCCATGATGTCAGGTGTGTCCCCAATGATGTCAGGTGTGACTCCAGTGATCTCAGGTGTCCCCAGGGATGTCAGGTGTGACTCCATCAATGTCAGACGTGACCCCAGTGATGTCAGGTGTGTCCCCGATGATGTCAGGTGTGTCCCCAGTGATCTCAAGCACATCCCCACCAATGTCAGCTGTCCCCAGCCGTGTCGGCCGTGTCCCCACTGACGGGCGGTGTCCCCGGTGTCGCGCAGGTGCCTCATCAAGTGGCTGGAGGTGCGGAAGGTGTGTCCGCTGTGTAACATGCCGGTGCTGCAGCTGGCGCAGCTGCACGGGCAGCCGGCCCCGGGCCCGCCGCAGGTTCCGCTGCCCGGCTCGCAGAACCTCGTGTAGCCCTTCCCTCGGACACAGCCAAAGCACTTCGGCCACGCAGCCCCGAATCCCGCCGGGATGAAGGCTCGGATCCTCCGCCAGCGCCGGGAGGGGACTCGGCGTCCTCGGCACGACATCCTTCTTCCAGCAGCTCCCTTCTCCAGCGCCGCGGTGGCACCCGGAGAGCATCGCGGCCGCTTCCCGCTTCCCTCCTCCTCGCCTTCGGTTCTTCGCCTTTGCGGGGAATGTGGTCTCGCCGCTGGAGTCGTGCTGCGGTCGGGTGTCCCCCCGGCACCTGTCCCCGCACCCATCGAGGGTGGATCCGCTCCTCCTCGGCTACCTCAGGGGCCCGGAGCCCCTGGAACAGGGGCACCATCCCGGCCTCAGCAGCAGCGAGAGCCACGGCGCGGGGAGCAGGCAGAAATCCCGGCCCGGGGGTCTCTGGGCAGCCTCTCCTTGCCAAAACACCCAAACCCGCATCAGCGGCCCCTCAGACCACAGGTTTGGGTGTCCCTGTCACCCTCAGCAGTCGCATTCCCAGCCTTGGGGACGGGGTGTCAGTATTACACAGCAGTGGTTTCCCTGAGGGCAGGGCTGGGGGGTCCTGGTGCCGTCCCCCCCTCCCAAAAAACTCGGGACTGTTTATGGAGCGTGGAGCCTCATAGACGTGTTTGTACACTACAAATTCTGCAGCAGAATATTTTTTAAAACATTCGCTGGTTTTGTTTTTGGTTTTTGTTTTTTTTTTCCTCTGTTTGTTTGGTTTTTTTGTAAGCTCTATTTTTGTATATTTAATTGCTATTTGAAAATTCTAATAATGCATCTTTTTTGCTAATCACACTCTTCTTAAGGAAAAACCAGGAAAGAAAAAAAAAAAAAAAAAAACCAACCAAGAGTTTGCATGTGATTTGACTTGAAATGTAAATAAAAGCAGGTTTTGGAAGTGGGGGTGTGTTTGCAGGGGGGTGTCCCCCCTCCTCGTTCCCTGTCACCCTGGCGATGTCCCCAGCAGGGGCGGCACCTCAGGGCTGGAAGAGGGGCGGGTTTGGGGTCACGTTGTCCATGTCCCCTTGCCCCAGCAGCAGAGCACCCCAAAACCCCTCAGCTAAGAGGGATTTTGGCGGATCCAGGCACGGGGGAGCTTCCCTGCTTAGGGAAATTCCTCCAATCAACCCAAAATCCCAAATCCCGGCCCAAGCCCCTGATGCCGACCTCCCTGCTGCCCTCTGCTGCCGGATCCCACCCGGACATCACCCAAACCATGGAATGCTCTGGACCAGTAGGAACTTCAAATCCCATCCCATTTCACCCCCCCACCGTGGGCAAGGACAGCTTCCACTATCCCAGGTGGTCCAAGCCCCATCCAGCCTGGCCTTGGACACTCCAGGGATCCAGGAGCAGACACAGCTCCTCTGGGAAATCCATTCCAGGGCCTCCCCACCTTCACAGGGAACAATTCCTGCCCAGCAATGTTCCCTCAATGTTCTGTTCACCTTCTCCAGAAGGATCCACAGGGACTGTGCTGCCCTTACAGCCGTTTTTGGGATGATGGGACAAAGTCTGGATCTCCCACCGAGCTGCACAGAACAGTTAATTTTGGTGCATCCACCCCACAGCTCCCGCTCTGGATTGATGATCTACCCTCCTCACCAATCCCATTCATATAAATGATCAGTAATTAAATTTTTCATCAAAGCCAAAACTGCTGCAATTTCCCCAGAATAATTAATGCTCTTTAAAAATTTTTTTTCCCCCTCCTTTAAAATGTTTTGAAATTCAACTGATTCCCAGAACCTGAAACATGCAGGGAGGGAGAAACAATCAAGGATTGCCCACAATTGTTTTCAAGAAGGTAAAACCCAAGTGGGGTCAACCCCAATTTGCACATCACATTCCTGCTCATTCCCACCAACGTCCATCCCACTCTGCTGGAGCTCCAAGAACGAGACATAAACCAAAGGGTTTGAAGCATATAAAAAATAACTGTAATATTTTATATAAGAAGAAAAAAATCAAGCAGTTTACAAAAAAGGAATAGACAATAAGCCAGGAACTTTGGTGCAGGGATCAGCTCGTGCTGGATCTACTCCAAAATCCAGAGAAGAGGGAGTTACACACACATGTATGGAGTGAGGAAGTGGAAAACCTGCAGGATGCTGAGCCCAGGGACACCAGTTTGGGGCAGGGATGGGGTGGATCGGGCTCTGGGATTGCTGCTGGGAATTCCCAGCCTTGCAGTTACATCAAGGAGCCACACAGGTCCCAGGCACACAGACATCCCAAAAACCCAAAGTTTCTGTGCCTTTTCCATGAGCTTTGGCTGTGAGGGTGGGTGAAAGGCCAGCCAGGTTAAATTTGTGTTAAATTTCAGGTGGGACAGCAGGAGCTGAGTCCCAAAACCCTTCAGTCAGCACTCTGGAAATGGAGATGTTTCTAATGGAGAGTTTGGGAACCTTTGTGTGATTTCATAAGGAGTGAAGACTAAACGAGAACTTGAAATCAGCTGATCCCAAACAGGCTGCCCACCCTGGATTCCTGCAAGTGTCCAAGGCCAGGTTGGACAGGAGCACCCTGGGCCAGTGGGAGGTGTCCCTGCCCACAGTAGGGTGCAGTGAGAGGGGCTTTGAGATCCCTTCCCACCCAAACCATTCCCTGAGCTGTATGATCCTGCTCCAGCCTTCAGCTGTCCAGTACCACCTTGTGGAACAGAGCAGCAGTCTTTTTTCCCTGATTTTACTGTGATCAAATCCCTGGCTGTGCCCACAATCCCAGCTCACAGGCAGCTGAGGTTTAGAGACAAACAGCAAAGCAATCACCCTCTGAATCTGTAGGTTCCTCCCTTTTCAGAGGGAGGTGCCACACAAGGAACCCACCTCGGACTGCTCAGCACTTCCAGCCAGGCTCACAGGGGGATCAGAGAGCTGGAAACTGGTTTTTCTGGGAAGAAACCAGGACTGGAAGGGTGTGTTGGGGTCAGGGTGATGGTCATTCTGATATCCTGGGATAAACCTGACACCCTCACCTGATCTGAAGGATCTGAGGAGCTTTCCCTGCGCTCCACAGAGCACTTCCAAAGCTGTGTCTCCATGAGCTCCCATCCCGAGGGAAGGTGCAGATACCTCGTTGCTTTTACAGAGCGTTTATTGAGCGTGCAGGATCCATTGCAACCCCCCATCCTCAGGGTGCAGCTTCCACGGGGGCTCCACACTGCAGCATCCTGCTCTCAGGCTGCCTGGCAGCATGCACAGGGAAAAGAGGGAGTAGAGCACACATGGAAGGGGGAGAATTCCCCCAAAACGACAGGAGTGCAGCCATTAAAAATGCAACATGGAATATTAGAGAGATCCAAGTGCGACTGAAGGAAGTGTGTCTTTGGTGGAATTTGGTAACAGAGAGAAAACCCCAGACAAACAAACAACAAATATCCCAATTCCACCCTCAAATTTAGATCTCAAGGCTGGAGGGTGACTGACACCATCCCAAAGGACTGTGCAGGAGAGCTGGAGGCCGAAATGGGACTCACCCTGAGGCACAGACCCGTGCTGTGCCTAGGACAGAGACAAGGACACGTGGAACAGGGATAAATAAAGCCTGGCTGACAGCACAGCTGTGTCCCAGTGTGGATCCAGGGGCCACAGGGAGTTAGTTACACACACCAGGGCTGTGCTGATGCTCTTCCCCTTTCCCAGACCGTTTTCCAGCACATGGAGAACCTCTGATTGTGAACACAGAACTGACCTGGGCACTTGGCACTCCAAGGGATCCCAGCAGAAGGAGCAGAGTGCCCCTGCCCTGTTTTGTCACCGTCATTAAACACAGAGTAAAACTAAAAAAATTGCCCTAAAAAGGGCAATTCCATGTGACTGAAACGCCCCACTGACCTTCCCAGACACGCCCATGTCCAGCCAGTGTATTCCAATCACATCCTTTGGGACAAACCTGCGCTGTAATCCCAGATGGATTTCAACCCTTGCAGACACCCATCCCCACACTGTCCACCACAGTGGAACAGTCTCAGTGGGGGCTGTGACACGAAACACGGGCTCAGTGACCCCCAAACCACGGCTCAGTGGCCCAGGGAGTGCCCTGAATCCATAGGTGCAACACAGATCCTGCAGGGAGTCAGGCTGAGTCCAGGAGGCCCAGGAGAGCGCCGACTGCGCCGAAGTAACCCTGAGGAGCAGATGGGGACATCAGTGAAATCCAGGGGCACACACCTGACACGGGAGCAAAAGGACCTTCAAGATATCCAATCCCACCCCCTGCCATGGGCAGGGACAGATTCCACTGTCCCAGGCTGCTCCAAGCCCTGTCCAACCTGGCCTTGGACACTCCAGGGATTTAGGGGCAGCCTCAGCTTCTCTGGGAAATCCATTCCAGGGCCTGCCCACCCTCACAGGGAACAATTCCTTCCCAATATCCCATCCATCCCTGCCCTCTGGCAGTAGGAAGACATTCCCTGTGTCCTGTCACTCCAGGCCCTTGTCAAGTCCCTCTCCAGCTCTATTGGAGCTGCTTTAGGCAGTGAAAAGTCTCCCTGGAGCCCTCCTTTCTCCAGGCTATTGAACACACAGTGCAGTTTTAACAACATATAAAGGAGAGGGGAAAGATACAACTACAGGGGTACATGATAAAATAGAAAATAAAAAGAAAACAAAATAAAGATAAAATAAAAATTAAAATAAAATACAAATTAAAAATAAAATTACAATTAAAAAATAAAACTAAAAATAAAATAAAAATTTTAAAAAATAATATAAAATAAAAATTAAAAATAAATAAAATAAAATAAAATAAAATAAAATAAAATAAAATAAAATAAAATAAAATAAAATAAAATAAAATAAAATAAAATAAAATAAAATAAAATAAAATAAAGCTGTGGCTGTAGCAGCAAAGCCCTGAGCTCCTCCTGTACTGCGTCCACCCAACAGCTCTACGCGGCTGTTTCCAGAGCGTTCCAAGGATTTGTATTTTGCCACAAGACAAATTTTAAAAAGGAATTGTACCTCATGTTCCAAGAAAAGTGCTTTTAGCTGTCCCTTTGACCAGTAGTCCAGGGCGTAGGCCAGGAGCCTCATGGAGATGGTGTTGATCCGAAGGAAGTTGCCCACAAACACCACACGGTTGATGTTCTGTGTTAAGGGAAGGAAAAAAAAAGGAGTATTAAGGCTAAATTCTATTTTCTGCTTGCAATGATAAAAACCCCACGTGGGGAAGGGTCTGGAGCAGCTGAGGGAGCTGGGAAGGGGCTCAGCCTGGAGAAAAGGAGGCTCAGGAGGGACCTTGTGGCTCTGCACAGCTCCTGACAGGAGGGGACAGCCGGGGGGTCGGGCTCTGCTCCCAGGGAACAGGGACAGGAGGAGAGGGAACAGCCTCAGGCTGGGCCAGGGGAAGTTTAGATTGGATATTTGGGAAAATTTCTTCTTGGAAAGGGTTGCTCAGCCCTAGCAGAGTTGCCCAGGGTGAATCCCATCCTGGAGGGATTTAGAAGCCATGTGGATCTGGCACTCTGGGCCATGGTCAGTGGTGGCCTTGGCAGTGCTGGGGGAATGGTTGGACTGGATGATCTTAGAGGAGTTCACCAACCTCAATGGCTCTGAAATTCTATGAATTAAATTCCTGCTGAAAGCCTTGGCAGAGTGTGCAGAACACCACACACAATTCCATCAGAAAGAAGCCCCAGGCCATTTTAAGCCACCCTCCTCCTCAGACTCCTCCAGAAATTCCCAGGCCAAACTACAGCCTTTCTAACTCAGGAATTTGGAAAGAATAGCTGATTTCCTACAAAATTCTTACACTCCCTGGGAACACTGATCACCACCTGCCTCCCCTCCTGCCAGCTCTGGCCTTTGATTCATCATGAAATAGCTGAGTGACTCTACTGCTAAACTGGGGGGAAACTAATTAGGAGTCCATAACCAACACATTTTTTTAAGAAAGTAAAAGACCAACCCAGTAGTGATTATTTTGGATTTACACCAGACCTCCAGCCTTACTTTTCCATCTCAAAATAGTTCTGATCCAAGCTCTGAAGCTTTCTTGTACTCCAATATGAAAATAATTGAGTTCCTTCTCTTTCTGAGGAATCAGATCAAGTCTTACCTGCTCCTGCACTCATATCCTTCTGTGGATTTTCCTTCCCTCCCCACATTGATTAACACTTCCCCTGAATTATTCAGGATCCTCTTTTCATTCAGCTGAGCTCCAGAGCAAGGAATTAGCAGATATATTTATGAGCAAGGCCGTTCAGGACATGTCTTGCCTCATTTTGGCTGCAGAGCCAGAGGAGTCAGGAGGATGCTGGATTCCATCAGCCCATCCCGTGGCAGCAGGCTCAGGATGGAGTGCAGAGCATGTCTCTGCTCTTTCATAGCCCTGTACAATGCTGCTTGACATGAATGCAACAAGGCAGCACTGTAAAGAAGCTGAAAGCACAAAGATGCAGCTACGGCCGTGGCAGTGCTGGGGCTTGGCCAAGAAACCCAGAGCAACTCGTAAAAACAGCACAGGAGGAGATACCCAAACTCTGCACCCTCTGTCCCTCCTCTCCCACTGCTTCCCAGAGCTGCTCCCAAAGAGAGCACGTTCCTCAAGCAGGCAGCAGCACACAGGTGATGTTTCAGGCAGGGAGCAAGGGAAGAGATTCCCAAAATACCTCGTTAAGGGCACACATCCGCGCTATGGAGCCGATGTTGTTGGTGATGGTGATTAAAGTGGCCTTGGCCAGGTCCTCCTTGCTGACAGATTCCCTCTTCTCCTTGCTCATCATGTTTCCAAAGCTGTAAAGACAGATTTGGGGTTAAAAGTCCCATCAGGATTCCAGGAGAAAATGGGAACAGCTAATTTAATCAAAGTGATTCATCTTGAAGGACTGATTTCTAACTTCAAAAAGCATTGCTGTGCATAACTTAGATCTCTTAGGAATGGCTGCTCTCCAAAGGCACCTACATCCAGTTTTTCATCCTTGCAGCATCTCCAGGGGGAACAAAACAAAAATGAGACCCAGGCAGGGCATTACCTGGATGCCACAGCCCAGCCTGGCAGCCCAAAGCGCTCGTAGTCTCCTCCATAGATGTCCCTCACCAGTTTGTCCACCTTGGTGCTGTCCCCGTGGGATGCCATCTCCAGGGCCTCCTCGAACGTGGAGCAGCCCGTCAGAAGGCAGCAGAGACCAAAGAAGGTTCCCCCTCCAAGGCTGCAAGTAAAGCAAAATGAAAATGAAAGCTCAGATTGTTCAGCTCTGCATCCCAGTTAGCTGAGGTCACTCCATTCCTGACCTCTTTTTTTAGGGAAAACCATCTTGGAAAGGCAGCATTTTCCTTCAAGTCTGTTTCTCCCACGTGCCCTGTAAGGAATCCCTCACAGCCTTCTGCACAGGCCACCCTCGGAAATGAGACCTCGATTTTTTTATGTTACACTGTCCACTTTCTTCCCAGCATCCAGAAATATTAATCTTAAAATAAATGTTAGTCCTGAGGGATAACTGGAGTGTCAGGGCAGAGATATCCAAAAGTTGGGGGGAAAACCCTGTCTTGTTCACTTTACAGGGCACGGATGCTACCAATAATGTCTTGTAAGAGTAAGAACTGTACTGAGGGAATTTAAAATTATTATCATTATCATTACTACTATTACCTCTCAGGGAATCCAGGAAAGCTTAAAGCCACAGAACTCTATGGCTTTGCCAGGACACAAAAGCCACATCTTTAAGATGGGCATCAACTGGGGAATGACTGCTATTCCATTATCCCTTCCACCAAAATCTAGCAACTTTTGGAAGTTAGGATGGAAATCTTGACTTCTTGGATCAATGTTAAGAGTTGCTAAGAACCTCAAATTACATGATCTCATAAAATAAATAAATAAAGCCCTCAAATTCCTGCAGCAGAGCTAGTGAAAAACCAGCTTTGATGGAGACTGGCTGCAGTAAAGATACCAAACCATGAAATCCAGATCCTCTTTTCCAAGAGGGATCTTTTTTGGCAGGGAGTAACTGCAGTAAGAGCAGCTTGGTCATCCCCCTCACCACCTTTATTGCAGCTTGTCCCTGAAAAAGCCATTTACAAAGCAGGAATGTGCTCCAGACCCCAAAATCCAAGTCCCTTTACCCCGCAGCGCTCACCTGGTGCCTGTTACCCGTTTATAGTTGTCTTTGGAATAGACAGCCAAAATGCTGACCCCTGAGCCAATGTTCACCAGGAGGAGAGGATAGGGATTCTCCAGGTTGAAAGGGAGCTTCTGGCACCTCTCAGCATCCGTGGGGTTCTCAAAATAGTAACACTCCGAGTGTCCATTGAAGCCCACGGAGTCGATGTACAGCACTCCTTTAACGAGGCAATCCAGCTCATCGAGCTTACACAGCTCAAGGTCACCCATCTGGTGGGAAGGAAAAAAGAGGAATATTGAAGATTAGCCAGGGATTTGAGGTATTTATGCTCAGGGCTGGAAAAATGCATTCACTGCCAGCTCAATCCAGCTATGTCCCTGCTCCCTGCAGAGGCTGAGGGAGAATGGATCACAGGAGAGCACAGGGGCTTCTAAGTACAGCAGCCCTCAGGTGAGGAACATTCTGGATCCACAGATGGACACTGAGAAAATTCCAGCAACTCCCACAACCCTGATTTAGGCCTGATGCTGAAGCACTGGTGTGAAAAGCCAGGAAAAACAAGGAAGGACTTGCATTGTTTGATCAAAATACCCCACAAAACCCATCCAAAGAAGCATCAAAAAAAAGAGAGGAAGTTATAAAATTGTTTTCCTCTCATGTCACTGCCTTGACCACACAAAATTGGATATTAGGAAAAACTTAACAGAAATGGTTGTGTTGCCCAGGATAGTGGTAGAATCTCCATCCCTGGAGGGATTTAAAAGCCATGTGGATGTGGCACTTGGAGACATGGGTCAGTGGTGGCCTTGGCAGTGCTGGGGGAAAGGTTGGACTGGATGATCTTAGAGGGTTTTCATCCTTAATGATTCCCTAAAAGCCTCTTTATTTGCATTTTTCCAAGCCCTGACTGAAACAATATTTATCACACACTTTTCACCTTGAACAAGGATCCCACTTAGAATGAAGCCCCGTGATGATGTCCAACCCCAACTATGAACTTCCTGACAGTTACATTTACCACCAAATATGCCTGAACCTCAACCAGCTCATTCACACAGGTGTTAGAAATGAAACCAGGTGAGCAAAGGAAGAAAATAAAGCAAGAGAACGACAGCAATGAGTAAAAAATACCAAAAAGATTGAGATGAGCATAAGAAGAGATTAAAAACAGAGAGGAAGATGTGTAAGAAAGATCATTAGTGAACAATTTTAGAGTTACATTCAGTGCAGGAAGTGCTTTAATTTGGAGACTCCACATGCCAAGTTTAACTGGAGTTAGGGACAGCACCAAAACGAAGATTTAGAGAAATTGTAGAGCATGCAGAGTAAAGTTTCCAGTTTTAAGCTTTCAAAGAAACATCACTACCAGATCCTAACGGTATAGAAGCCAAAAATGCCTACTGTGCGAAAGTCCTGCTCAAATTTGTACGCTCCACCTCCCGTGGCACATAAGGTAGTATGGAGGCTCGAGAAGTGCTTTTCGCTTCCCATTTGGATAAAAGCAGGCATGTCATGAGTAGGAAAGCGTATAAAGTGCAGATTGCCTTTACGTCCACACAGGGTAAGGTCCCTGAGCTCAAGGTGCACATCCCGAATGCCTGTGGAGCCATAGGCTACGTTTGATGTCAGGTATTTGCGGATGCTTTTGAGGTTTTCCACTTCTTCCTCTTCCTCTTCGGCCGTGATGTCCTTGGGTTCAAAATAAACCAGTTTGACCAAGGTGCCTCCGATGTCCAAGCCAAACCAGGGAAAGACTGGAGAGAGAAGACAAGAGAAAATGAGACAGGGTGTGGCACAGCCATGGCATGAGCACCTTTGATTGATGGTCTTTAAGGTCCCTTCCCACCTATGTGATTCCATTGAAAACAGTTTTCATTGAATTAATTAATAAATGCAGTTCTCTAGGGACCCATGTGATCCCTCCATTTTCAGGAATCTTGTCTTTGACAAGAGACTCCTCCAACATGAGCACAGCTCCTGCTCAGAGATCCCTCGTGTTTGAATATTTGCTGTACAACGCTCAAACACTGACATCCCTCCCCACAGGTCTGACAGCTCCCACAGCCCTGCCAGATCCTGCTGCAGGTTTAATCCCCAGCTATTCCTTTTTCCCAAGTTCTGAACCAGAGCCAGAGCCACGGATAACACCAGTGCTTTTACATCAAAGGGATGTACAAACCTTCCCTAATTACAACACAGAGCTGAGGTAGACAAGCAATCTAAGATGCCGCAGGGAGACAAAAACAAATGTCTAATTGGATTATTTTATTAGTCAAATTCCCCCATGGTACAAAATATGCATCAGTGTCAGGCCCAGCAACATTTACAGCTGTGTTAGATAATGAGCTTCTTGGAAAAGATCAAGAGAAACCCCTGATCTGATGGAATCTGCGATTAGAGCTGGGAACTGGAACAGATTAATATCACTATTAATGAACTAAAGGAGACGCTGGAGCTAATGAGATGCACAGGATCCAGAGCAAAGGGAAAAATGTAGCCACATCTTAGGGCTTATGGGAGCAGCATTCAATCCTTATGGTAGCTTCCAGAAGGAAAAAAAGAACTTTTAGAAAATAAACCTGAATAATGGAATCATAAACATTGGAAAAGACCTTCACAATTCCAACCATTGCCCCAGCACTGCCAAGGCCACCACTGATCCATATTGCCAAGTGCCACATCCACATGGCTGTTAAATCCCTCCAGGGATGGGGACTCCAACACTGCCCTGGGCAGCCTATTACAATGCTTGACCACTCTTTTGGGGTGGAAACTTTCCTAAATGTCCAATCTAAACCTCCCCTGGCCCAGCCTGAGGCCGTTCCCTCTCCTCCTGTCCCTGTTCCCTGGAGCAGAGCCCGACCCCCCCGGCTGTCCCCTCCTGTCAGGAGCTGTGCAGAGCCACAAGGTCCCTCCTGAGCCTCCTTTTCTCCAGGCTGAGCCCCTTCCCAGCTCCCTCAGCTGCTCCTGGTGCTCCAGACTTTTCCCCAGCTCTGTTCCCTTCTTTGGATACATTCCAGCATAGATGTTACCAACATTACTTTGGAAAACAGGATCGTGGGTTTTAGTAAAATTCCTTATCTGCAAACAGATAAGGGTGGAACATGGAGAAGCCCTCATTCCTCTCCCTTTAGAGCAAGAATCCCTCGTGCCAGGCTCTTCAAGGAACAATCTTTGCACAGGCAGGAGAAGATTGCAGCAGCCTGACAAGTTGGAGGACACATTTTCTCCTAGGCAGATTTATCTGGTATTTGTATAGGCCCTTCTAAAGCTTTCCAGCTCCCAGGAATTGCTGGCACCAGCAGCTCCCACAGTATTTTTAATCCACCAAGCTATTTTTACGTATTTCCATAGAGGCCACCCCCAACCATCACCGAAGGAAATTTTGAAAGAAGATGCAAGCTCTATTTTCGGAGACGTATCCAAACCCCAATCACACTCTCCATTTTGGAGGCATTTACTTCAAACAAGAAGAGACACTAAAATAACTTTTCATGAATGAGAGGGAAAGGAATCTGAATGGCAGCACAACAGAGGGAGGGAGCAGGAGCAATCCAAGGACTTCTACACAGGCAGACAGTGGTAAGACAAAGGGGAAAGGTTTTAAACTAAAAGGAGCATTTACATATTAGGAAGAAATTCATCTCTGTGATGGTGCTGGGGCCCTGGCACAGAGAAGCTGCCCCTGGATCCCTGCAAGTGTCCAAGGCCAGGATGGATGGGGCTTGGAGCACCCTGGGATAGTGGGAGGTGTTCCTGTATCCAAGACGGGGGGACTGGAAGCAGATGGTCTTTAAGGTCCCTTCCTACCCAAACCATTCCGTGATTCTGTGATTTCTGGAATGCATTTGTTCCTGTCAGAACATGCCATTTGATTTCTGCATTCTGAAGTCCACTGGGTTTTTTTTTAAAGCATCCCCACCATTGCATTTAGACAACAATCTTCCCCCACACTCCTTCTGCCAGGCTACACAGGGGTAAAAATGGGGAGAGGGCAGAGTGGGGCTCAGAGATGGCCTCACTGATGTACAGCAGGAAAGACAAACATCCAAAACCACCATGCTCTGAAGCCACAAGCCTGAAAATGCCACAGGGGCTGCTCCATCACAGGCTAACAGGCTCCCACTTCCCAGCACTCAGCTGGCAGCACATGCACAGCTTCAGTAAAATAACATATTTGTTTTGAAGTTGGTAGTGAAGCTCACAAACTCCTACACTCAGCGACACAAACCTTCCAGATTTCAGGGCAAACACCAACTGGGTCCATCAGTTTAGGCAGCTTTCCTGGTCCTAAAAAACAGAGCAGCACCTTGGAAACTTCATCCCAAAGTCAGTACCATCAAGACCTTCGATTTTTTTATTATATATAAATTAGGCATGGAGTTAAACCACACCAGTTACCTGTCTTACCAGGAACAGGAAAACAGGAATGATGCCAGCAAAGCTGGGAGTAACTGCAGCCAGGCTGGGCTCAGGGGTCACTATCACCACTCAGCACTGGCCCTAGAAAGAAAATCCACTATCACCACTCAGCACTGGCCCTAAAAAGAAAACCCAACCCCTTGAGGTGGGACACAACTTCCGAGCAGAGCTGGCTCACACCTCCCAGTGGCACCAGCTGGAAAGGCTCCATGTGGAGCAGCTGGTGCTCTCCATCTGCCACAGCTCGGCTCTACCTTCCCTAAGTCACCAGGGATAAACTCAAAGAGACAGACTATTAAGGTAATTATCTTACCCAAATGATTGTTAATTATGGAGCCTTCATTATATACATCCCAGCCACAGGTTAAGAATCCAAGGAAGAAGTGTGTGAGCTCAAAATTAAGTACTTCTTTCCCAGGCTGTGAAGGATTCCCTATGCAGTAACACCTGTTGGAGAACTCAATCCATTACAGGGACAAAACTTCCCTATAAACCCTTTTTTGTAGGAAAGGGGAATGGCACACAAACAAGAGGAAGAAACAATTCCAAAGAGAAGAAGAACTGGAGATTTTTTTCCTGAGACTTACAGGAACATGCAGGGCAGTGACAGCTCTTCCATGTCTGAGAACTAGAAAAATCCAAGGGAGGGAGGAGGAAGCTCTCCTGGATCAACGCCACCACCATCTGCCACCATGATTTCTCCTGAAACACTGATTTTTTTTTTTTTTTTCCCCCAGCAGATGAAAGCCATCCAGAGATTTCTCCCTTTTAAGCCTCTGAAGCAATTTTTTCCAAGAGAGCTGCTGCAGATCTCCAGGAGCAGCAGGAGAACTGCTGGCATCTGGGAGCTCTCTGGGCATCCCCGAGGCTGAATGTGCTCAGTCAGAAGGTTCTGCTGGAACAACCAGAGAGCAGCAGGAGATGCAAACTCTGCCTCTCATCACCTCCTCCCTGCTGCTGCTTGGAGCTCTCTGTGAGGGAAGAGCCTCACAGGTCTCCTTTCCAAGCTCTCACCAGCTGCAGACCAACGGGAAGGATGGCCATGATGGACCTCTGGGCTCTCCTCCTGCCCAGCACCTTCTGGGAAGTGTTTAGTTGTTTGGGTATTTCCAGGAAAGGCAGGAAATCCTCAGCTCTCAGCTCCAAAACTCCTGCAATCTGTCTCTTTACAGAAACTCTGTGCTTTTTTGGAGGATGAGAACCATGAGCTGGGCAGAGAAGCTGTGGCTGCCTCATTCCTGCAGTGTCCAAGGCCAGGCTGGAACAACTTGTACTGATGAAAGGTGTCCCTGCCCTTGGCAGGGGGTGGAATGAGATGGGTCTTGAAGGTCCCTCCCAACCCAAACCATTGGCCTGACAAAGTTTTGTTTTCCTTGAGCAATTTTAAAAGCAGCTCTCTCCATATATTTTCATATAAACAGCTCTTTGTCTTAAAAACAAACCTTCTTCTCAGGGGCAGATCTACGGATATGCAGCAACAAACAAAAGACTGCTCTGCCAACAAAGTTATAGGGCTCACAGGTCTGACTAAACAATCCCAGAAAAGCTCCAGGATAGTTTGTGTGCCCACAGCAAGAGCTGCCACCCTCCCTTCAAATCCCTTTTGCAGTCAGACTGTAAAACTTCAGGACAATAAAAAGCAATTGCCTTTATCTGATATGTAAATTACTTCATAAAACTGGACACTGTGTAAATAAAAAAGCCCTCAACAGACTTAATTCTGGAAGCTGTAGAACTGTCAAGATGAAAGAGGTGATATAATTAAAGATCTCCATGGTGGATTTTCATCACAAAACAAGCAGCTCGAGCTGTATTTCAGTGATCCTTAACTTCTGAGCCAATTATATCAGGAGCTAAACAGATTAGTCTGATGATTTAGTTCAGTGTGTGACAGCACCTCTAGGCTTACTCTGAAATATTCAACATTATATTTTAATAGTGTTACATCATGCTAGAAATTTTACAGCTGAGAAAAAAATACAATTCGTTAGCATTTAATATAAAGTGACACTAAGTCTACATCTCCTCCCATACCTTAAAACAGGTTCTGATAGGAATTCATATTTCATGCACCATTCCAAAACAGAAAAGGGTATTTAAACATCGAAGCTTAAATTTTGTACTACCAAAGAGGTGACAAAGCAGCATTTTATTTTTACCTTTTCTTGGATAGTTTGTAAATTGAAAATTTAAAGTCCTTTGTCCATTATGTATTTGCATGATCCTGACAGAAGATACGAGAACTTCCAAAAAAGGGATCAGTTGAAGAGAAATAATATTTTCTCAGGGAACAAATAAACAAGCTACAGAAGGGAGAAGCACATTTTGCTCACTAGGGAAATAACCTAAATTCACCAGTGTGTTGAATACCCCAAGATTTCAGGATGATCAGGGAGAGAGTGGAGGAAGGGGGAAAGGGGGAAAGCTGATGAACTGAAGTACTGATCTCTTTCTCTTACCAAAAATATTCATTAAAAAAACATTTCCCTTCTCATTATGACCATCATCAGGTTTCTGCCACCCTGCCCACAGCCACAGCTCCCTTAAGAACCATGGAGGGAATATCCTCATTACTCATCTGGAGTCTTCCCAATCCAATCTTTAAGTATGGATTTCAATAATGGCACTGATAATTCAGTACCAGAAGGGAATTTTCCTGTATTGTTCCTGAAACTGATAAAGTTTTTGCGTATGACATGTCTGTCTGCACTAATAACCCTGTCAGACTCCCCAATTTAACACTCCAAAACTGCAACAATCTCTGTTTTCAGGGACATTTCTCAGTCCCTTCTGACAGCAACAGTGTCCTTGACTTCTCCTTCTGCAGTAAAGCCCCTCGAGGGCACCAGGAAATATTCCACAGAATCACTGAGGTTGGAAAAGACCTCCAAGATCAATTCCAGGTGTTAACACAGCACTGGCATCTTCACCCCTAATCCAAGTCCCCAAGTCCACATGACTTTCAAACAGAGAATTGAAATTTCCAGGGAATTTAAAAGCCCGAGGTGCATGAAGGCACACAGCTGGCATTTTGGGTGCAGAGTTTATTTCAGATCTATCTCAAATCCAATCCTCTCCCCTGCTCTCTGCAGTGACTGTACATTACAGGCTCAGAGGGCTGAGGAGGAAGGAGGATCACGAGGCTGCCAAAATCCTTTCATTCCTGGGGAAGTGGGGCTCATCTGCCAGGGCATCTGCCAGCACAGCCAGGCAAGACAAGCCTCAAGGTCACCCAGCTCGTTTGCCACATGCCAGCAGCAGACAAGTGGGAGCTAAAGTAGGACATTTTTGACCCCACATCCATTAACTGCTTTCCTTTCATTTCAGCTCAAGTCTTCCTTAAGGTGGGATGGAGCATTTGGACTCCAAAACATGACTGATTGTGACACCAGGCACTGTCCCTGCTAAGGGACACACTTGCTCCAGCACACTTCTCTTCCACTTATCACAAGATTAATTTAGGAAAGTCAGACTACATTATAATTCCAAATCCCACCATGCTGACCTTCCAGACTCGATTCAAACCCTTGTTTAAAAGCTGCCAGAGCACCTGTTTTCCTTAAAGTATCCCATGACACTCTCAGCAACCAACTTTAATCCACATTTTCCAGAGAAGACACAGAAACTGCCGAGCAAGGCAGAGGAGAATTATCACCTAAGGCAGAGCTCCGAGTCCTCCCTCATTTTCATACCAGAGATCTCCTTCATGTCCCTGCAGCCTTTTAACAAGTCTCTAATTAACAGCCTCACAGTCCTCTATTCCTATTTTCCACATTAAAACTTCCCATAAATATGGTACCAACAGTGTCTCAGCACTGCCAGGCACAGCTGAGGTGCAGCAGAATCCTGATCCCTGTTTTCAGCCCAGATTCTTCACTCACACCTTTTTTAACAGCTGTGCAGGTACCAAGGAATTGCACCGAGGCTGTTTCATTTTCAGGGTATGGCAATTTCCTTCCAGGGGGAAGGACTCCAGCAGAAATCAAGGAATAATCTCTCAGTTATTCCTCAAATATGGCTGAAGTCAGGGACAGCCACGGCACCTGCACAGCAGCTCCTGCTGCTCCCAAAATGAAGGCTGCCATCCATTTTGCTGTTTCCAGTAGGACATTTACAAACATGGTTTCTAGGGATTTTTTTTTCCCCTTAGAAAGCCTGGTTTGATCTGTATCCAGCTCCTGCCAAACCTGTTGGGTTTTTCCCTCCCAAAATTTAAACTATTCTCTTTGCTCTCTCATTGCTTTGCTTTCACAGTTACCAGTCCAGCCTCACAACCTCAAACCCTCGTCCCTAAATCTGTCCTGCTGTGCCCTTTCCCTCATTTTCTGTCACCAGGTGCCTTCCCATCCAAAGTCCCCAATTTGGGAACCACAGCATCTGCCACAGCCCCATGTCCTGCCCCACCAGGTAGATGTCACTTCCCCCTAAACCTCCTAGAGCTTTTGGAGTTCAGCCCAACATGCTGAGCCCATGTCCCTGTCCCACCGTGCTGTGCCCAAACTAGCCATGCTGTGCCCATGCCACCACCCCATAGTGCTGTTCCCAAGTGATGACACTGGACAATTATCACCCACCGCTGTACAAACCCTTCCCACCGTGTCCCCGCCGTGCTGTCCCCCACGCTGCCCATGCCGTGCTCATCTCATGTCCCCCGCGCTGTCGCAGTGTCCCCATCCCTCCCCCATGTCGCCCCCCGCCCCACCTCCCCAGGCCACGCCCCCTCAGCCACACCCACCGAAGCCACGCCCACTCCCTCATTACCATAACCCCGCCCATCCTCCGAGCCCCCCCCCCCCGCCGCTTCTCTCTCTCCCCGCCGCTTCTCTCGCTGCCGCCGCCGCTCCCCCTCACTCACGCGGGCGGTTCTTGCGGACCGAGTCCCGCCGCTGCCGGCTCACCGACCCGCCGCGTTCGCGGGGCTGCGGAACCGCCGCGCCGTCCGCGCCCCCGCTGCTCCGCCGCCGCAGCTGCGAGGGCCCGGCGTCCGCACCGCCGCCCCGCCGCCGCGGTTTCTTCTCGTCCTCCGCGCCATCGCCGCAGCTCCGCGGCGACTCCATGGGCAGCGCGGCCCGGCCCCATGGGCCGCCCGGCCCCGCTCCGGCCCCGCTCAGCCGCCACCGCCGCAACCACCGCCCCCGGCGCGCCTGCGTCGCACGGCCCCGCGGGGCGGGACACCCCGTGAGGCGGCCGCCAATCCGCGCTCCCCGCGGCGCTGAGCGACAGGAGGATGCGCCAATGGGAGGCCGGTATTGCTCGGCAGCCGGGAGCCGGGCCCGCCTCCTGCTCTCTGCCGCGTAGAGTGACAAGAGCGGCTGGCCAATCGGAAGCGTGCGCCCGGGTGAGGCGGGTCGATATGCGGCAGCTCTGGCCTATGGGCTTCCTCTGCGGCAAGATTGACAAGGCAAGTGCCCAATGAGCGGGAGAGCTGTCCGGGTGGGGCGGGAGAAGGCGCGGTGATTGACAGCCGGGTAACTATGGCAACGCGGGGGGGCGAAGGGAAGACCCGCAGTAGGCTCGGCTGGGCAGGGTCGGTGGGGATATTTAAATATGATTTACATATGCAGATAACGATGTATATTGCCGTGGGGCGGCTCTGCCACCCACTATGGCGGACCTGAATGGACCTTAAAAACCAAGTCGTTCCACCCCCTGCCATGGGCAGGGACACCTTCCACTAGCCCATATTGCTCCAACCCCATCCAGCCTGGCCTTGGGCACTTCCCGGGATCCAGGGGCAGCCACAGCTTCTCCAGGCACCCTGTGCCAGGGTCTCACCACATTCACAAGGAAGAATTTCCTCCGAAGATCTTAAAATCCTCAGTTCTCCTTTACATCCCGACGTAATTCTAGTGTGGATACATCCCTGCTCTTTAAATCCCGGTCCTGCGTTTATCAACAAGCGCAGCAGGAAAACCCCAGGTGGTGGTACAACAACCATGAAAGGAGGTGTAAGCAACAACCAACAGGATGAAAATTCAAAATGAAAACACAGATTCCCAGAGTACAGGATGCCATAACAGCTCCCGTTGTGGAGATTCCCGTGTGTAATGTTAATTGTTGTCTCTCGAACCAAGCCTGGTGCTCCTCACCTGCCCCGAGGTAATCCCGGCTCACCACAATCCTCAGGCATTAATTCGATACCTGAGGGATCAGCAACCAACATTCCACAAAGGTCTGATAATTTCCGTGAAAATTTGCTGAATTCTGGTTGCCGGAGTGAAAATGGGACAAAGGGATTGGTCAAATTCAGATGGTGTATTTTAAAATCCTGTTGGGTGAGTGGAGGAAGCAGATAAATGGGGTTGGCAGTGACAGGAGATAAAGAATGAGCCCTCTGAACACAAATAATCTCCTTCAGAGCAGTGTTGCTTTCATTTGGGTGAAAAAGGGACTGGCTGAGCTGCCCAAAGCTCTTGAGTATTTTCAACCGCTGCTGATTGTGTTGGAGTGTCTCAGCTGCTGGGACAGAGCAGAGCCCTTGGGAGCATGGAGAGGGCACAGGAAAGGGCTGTTTCCTCCCAAAAACTTCCTGTTTGTCCCCAAACTGCACACAGGGTGGTTTAAGGATGTTGGTGCCTCCATTCTGCAGGTCAGAACTGTTCAGGGCACAAAAAGAGGAACCTGGGGAGCTGCCACCTCCAGAGCTGAACCCAGAGTGGCTAAGGCAGCCCAGCATGGAAAAGGCAGGATCCCAGGACAGAATTCCACCAGAAAAGCTGGATAATTAATAAAGCACCATCCTGGCCTGGGTGGGTACCAAGCTCAGCACACATCTGTGCACTGTGTCCACCTGGCTACATCCAGTCCCTTCTCTTCCAGCCACAGCTCCTTGTGGCTCTGTTTCACCCTTCAAGTTTGCAACGCTTTGGAGATGCTTGGTGCATTTCTCTTCCCAGAAGTAGTCGTAGGCACACGGTTTGTGGTGATTAGGAGTGGGGCTGTGGCCGAGCCTCATCCCCAGTGGGTACAGCTGTGAGAAGCAGGTGAACAGCATTGAAAACAATGGAGTGCTGAGCTGTGCTGACCAACCACCAAAGGGAACAGAGGGCCCACAGGTGCAACGCAGCAACATGAGGGGTATAAAAGGTTGGGCTAAAATAACAAGAAGGGCAGATGTTTGCAGCCTTCTGAAGTGCCATGATGTTACTCTGGATAGCTAAGTGCTTAAAGCCTTCTGAAATTGTAGTGACGTGCTGTGTTACACTGTCTCAACTGTGACATATGCTGCAACAGTCCAGTTCCTCTTTGGTGACAACATCCTGACTTGCGCAGCTCAGCTGTTTGCTGCCTTGGGAACCACCTTCCCTGTTTTCATCCTGGGTATCCTACCAGCAACAGGAAGACCTGCCATGGTGAGACCATGATTGCTCCAAAATGAGATCTGGAAGGTGTCCCTGAACCATCACCTCTTCCTGGCACCGATGGCTTCTCAGTGTCACTTCTAACAGAGCCCTTCAGAGCATTGCCTCCAGCCACAGCATCGTCAACCTCACACTCTTTGTCCCACAAATCACAACAAGTCAAGAGTGAAGCATCAAACCAATTTATTATAGTTAGTAAAAGGCTTTTTAGCCTGTTAGTAAAAAATGTGCTGGGACACAGCTCCCTCCTGTACCATCTCCTGCCAATGAGGCTTTAAAGTGCTACATAACAACTGTGAAAATCCTGGCACTTTGCAGCAGCAATCTGAACATGTGCTTTCCCCACTCTGAGGTGGTGACAAACCAGCTGTTTCACAAGAGGACATGAAAAAGCAAAGCATACAAGCTGTTGCTTAAATATATGGAAAAACATGGGAAGAATTTCACAGGCAAGTAAAGCATCAGAGAAGAGGACCTTGGTATGGATGCAGCTGGTTTGGGATCTCATGGATCTGCCCTGAATTACAGAAAGTGTGGAGAAGGCAAGTCCCTTCCTGTCCCTCCTGTTAGGGAGTGGTAACTGTTTTGTTTTTAATGGAAGAACAGCCCCCACACTCCCTTCTCCTGGCAGAGGGGGCTGATTGTGTTTAAAGGACTGTCCCTTCCTCCTTCATCAGCAGGCACTGAGCAAGGAATGAACACCTTGAGCTCTTCTGGAAAGCAGCCCTGACACACCACAGTCAACACCTCCCTGTTCCATCTGTTGGCTGTCCTTAGTTTTATGGAGGCACTTTTTGGATTTTTGGGCAGAAGGAAACTATTGGGAGGCTGGAGCAGCCGTTGAGGGCTGAGAGATCTTTCCCATCACAGGCCAAGCTCCAGTTGTGATGGCTGCACTCTGCAGCCAGGCCCCAGAGGGCTCAGCTCCCTGCCAGCAGGAAGACTGGATTTGGGGAAGTTGTGCCGATGGCAGGAATTTGGGATGAATAAGTTACTGGACACAGGGGGATGAGGGAAGTGATTCTGCTCCTGTGCTCTGCTCAGGTGAGACTCCCCCTGCAGTGCTGTGTCCAACATAAGAAGGATGTGGAGCTGCTGGAGTGAGTCCAGAGGAGGCCACAGAACTGAGCCCCTGTGCTCTGGAGCCAGGCTGGAAGAGCTCCACTGGAGAACACTCGGGAGAGACCTTCCAGCAGCTTCCAGTATCTAAACAGGCTACAAGAGAGCTGGAGAGGGACTTTGGACAAGGACCTGGAATGACAGCACAAAAGGAAATGGCTTCCCAGGGTCAGAGGGCAGGAACAGATGGGATACAAGGAAGAAATTCTTCCCTGTGAGGGTGGTGAAACGCTGACACAGGTTGTCCAGAGCAGCTGTGGCTGCCCCATCCCTGGAGGAGTTCAAGGCCAAGCTGAAAGGGGCTTGGAGCAACCTGGAGCAATGTAACTACTCCAGGCTCCTGCTTCTTCACTGCTTCACTGTATTTTAGACTCACTGGATGGCTGGGGTGGGAAGGGCCATTAATGAGCATGTCATTCCAGCCCTCTGCCTTGGGCAGGGACACCTTCCCCAAGTGCAGTTTGTTCCAAGCCCTTCAGACACTGGAAGATGCTACAAGATCTCCCCCACAGCTCAGAGCATCTCAGACTCTGGTACGACCTCCCTGCAGTGCACAGTTGATCCTGTTTGTGTCCCAGCCTGGGCAGAAGGTTCCTATACCCCTACCTCATAGCAACAGGCATCAGGAGGGGCAAGAACTCCATCCACCCTTCCAACCAAGCTCCAAAAATCCAGCCTAAAAATCAAAGACACCCAACAATCTTTTGTGGGACCAAATTTGCTTGAAGTTGGCACTACCTGAAACATTCCTCTTAAATCTAAACCCCCTTCCCTGCCTGGAGGGGGTGAAATGAGGCTGATCCTCGATAATGCTGGCTCGATGCAGATCTTTCCTGACCCTCATGTTTATCCCCAGGGTCAGTACTACATGAAGCAATCCCAGAAGGGGCAGCAGAGCCAGAGACACCAAGTAAGGCAAACTGAACATGAGACGTCCAGTGGAGGTTGCTGCACCCACCCTTGGGCACATTTTCAAGCCAAGATGAGCAGAGCCAAGAAAATCAGCTCTGCTGTTATCAGATACCTGCACAATCTCTCCTGGCTGCATTGCACAAAGGGACCTGGAGGTCACCCTTTGGATCACCAGCATATGTTTCCCTGAGGCTCCTGGGACCAAACAAGAAAGACATGAAGAATCAGAGTGAGTGCTTTCCTTTTTTGACTCAATGGATCATTTTGGAGCAGAATCTTCTCCTCCAGGGGTGGAGGAAAAGAGAAGGCTACAGCAAAGAAGATGGTTGGGAAATTGGAGGGAATGGACCCAACCCAACAGCATCATGTACCAAGGCCTCTTCCAGCAGAACCTTCCAGAAAAAGATATAACAACGCCCCTACTGCCCCTTGCTACTCTTCAGGCTTCAAAAGCGTTGGACAAAATCCTGTTGCCAATGAAATCCCCCAGGCTGCATCACAGTGGTGGCATCCCGCGCGCTATTTCCGCAGCCGGACGTACACCGCGAATGCCACGGCAGAAATGACGCCGACGGCTGGGAGGATGTAGAGCAGGGACAGGCCACTGCTGTCCCCCTTTGGGAGTGTGGCCTGAGGTGAGCTGGTGGCAGCGTCACGGCCACTGCCAGAGCTGGAATTCACGGAGCTCCCGAGGGGACTGACTCCGTCGCTGCCGGCTCCAAGCTGGACGCTGGGGTGATGATCCACACGGACCTCGTGGGTGCCCAGGGAGGTGCTGCCCCAGCTCGGAGCAGGACGGGAGTCTCTGCTTGCTCCAGCTGCCTCCTTTTCTCTGGGGCCTGCAGGAAG